TTCGTTGATTTTTTCTATCCGGTTTTTTTTTGCGGTTTTCTACCCTGTTTTTTTTCGGATGTCCGGTTTTTTTTACCGTGGTTTTCTTTTTTTCCATCCGATTGGGTTGAAGCACAAATTTAGTAGGATACAAATACATGACTCAGAAATTACAAAGGCCAAATAGAGTCGGGAACAATTAGATGGCCCAAAAATTGCACACAGTCCAATGATAGAAATTACATACCGAATTACATACAGAATCCAACTATTGAAATTACATGTCCAAGTAGAATACAAACATCTTATCAACCTATACAAAAAACTGAAATCACATATCACAAATAAGACTCATATGCACCCAAAATTTGGTGTGGATACTGAGCAATCTCTCACTCGGCACTAATATATGCCCCCAAATTTGTTATTTTTTTCAAAGTGAGCAATTTCTGGTTCAACGTGATACTAAATCTACGTTTATGATGGACGCAGGTAATTCTTTAGCCCTTAATGATGCACATATTAAGAATTGTATTTATTTTTTGGCATAACTTTTGGAACAATCACAATTGAATCTGGATATTTAATTATTCGTCTCCTCTCATAGACTGGAATTTGTAAATTATTCTTCTACTTCCTGCTCACTACTTTCCCACCTTTTACCTAAATTATTGAGTAAATTCAGACAAAATCAATTACATATAGCAAGCATTGGCAGCAATTATTTTTCACTCTTAACATACACACAAATGAAAAGGTTAGAACCAGATTAATTTTTTTTAGAATGATCCAACTTTGCATCAACTCTGCCAGGTCAAATGTAGTAGGAGCAAGAACAACTACTACACTATATGCAATTCTAATATGAAATAAAGACAAACAGTGGCATGCAAAATACTCAATACATATGCATCATGCATCCATATCAAGTTGTTCTGAGATTGCTTCCATGATTGCGTGGTGGCACTCAAAATCACAGCTAACTAAGTGCAGTTTAGAGGTATTATCAATGTTTGCACAAATCAGTATGATAAGTATCATTTAGTGGTTGAACATCCACACCCACATAATAGTATAGATCTTAGTGTCCACACAAGCTAGAAGTACTTACTTCAGTACGAGTAGTAGTATCATTTAGAGGTTGACTATCCATATGACCACATCCACTGAACAGTGCAGACCATGAAACATCATGCAACACAAACAAGCAGGAAGGAGTTGAGGTTGAGAGACCGTAAAACTTACATATTTCCAACTGGCGGCAGCGCAAAACACCTACCATATGCTTCTCCACTCCCAAAGTTCATGTCCGCCATTGAAAATAAACTTCTACAGGAATCAACATAGGAAAATGATTAGCACAATAGGATACCATTCAATGTTGGAATATCATATTAGTGTCAAAATAATGAAGTGATCTAATCTCCTGCAGCTCAATAAAACGAACAAAAACAGCTGTAAAAACGTAAGACATCAATCAGTAATATAATTGAGCACCACAGAGTAGATCATCATGAAAACCTTAGAATGCCCCCAGAAATAAAGGGATAGAAAGGAAAGCAGAGGCCCTCGCGGAAAGATAAAAGAAAATGAAAAGCACAGCTGGCTTAAACGAATAGACAGAGTAGGACCACGAGAGGTCATTTTTTACGTAAGGAATAGGCTCTAGGAAAGCTGCCTGGAAAAGTAGGAATGGAAGCAGAATGCTTACCGGCTTCGGAAGATAGGACTGCGAGACTTGGACATGAAGGAGAGTTCCCGCTATTCCATAGGGATTTGACAGATTCTCATACACCAATATGGCCTTCCAGCTAGAACAGACACATCATGCAGACCTTCTGGTCAGAGAGATAAATTACTTGAGAATCAAGCAAGTAAACTAATTATTTAACATAATGTAAACTAATTATTTGTTTTTACCAGTACATAATCTCCTAATCAATATCTTGCTAGATAAATATACTTTGCATGCTATTCTTTTAGATAGAACACCTAAAGGTCTCTTCTAATTTTGCTATTTTTGGTTGAGTTTTGATCTCCTGAACTTTGTTAATGTTTCAAAAGTTAGTGTTTTGTCACTATAAACTTGATGGAATTCTGCTTTGTGATAGAACCTTGAAATCTATTATATATCATGTAGATCAGTCATTCTATTCTTAATGGCCTAAACTTATTGTGCACGCAGAGATCCTCGCGTTATTGTTTTATTATTTAAATACATTATGTTTTCTTAATTGTGAAGCTTTTTAATTCATCGAAAAGACATATAAGATTACCCATGTGTGTAGAGTTTAAATTACAATCCACAGGTACCACCTAGGTTTATATTCATCTCAGTATTCCATAAGTCGTAGAGCTACAAACCAATGAAATCAAATTAACTAACTGTTCTGTTTTTTTTAAAAAAAAAACTACTCTTATGCAGTATAAAAACTACTAGAATACAAAAGCAATCTTAAAAAACATATATACTGGAAGGTGAGATATAACTTGTGCGTGTGTGTATGTTGTGCGGGGAATAAAAAATGAATAACAGGAGTTAAAAGACTTAGAATGAGATTTACTGATTTAATTTGCAATATCAACAATTCAAATTAAGCATCGGAAACTTCCGCGTACCTGTCAGACATTGTACGCCGCAATCAACCATCAAACACCCTATAAACAGCTTCTCTCTGCATAGCAGCATAGTGCATATGCAATTAGGTTGTCCAGCAAAAATAAGACAATTATTCAGTTACATACTACTGAGAAGTAATAGGAACAAGCAAATACTGAAAAGTAGCAAAGGAGCGAGTCTTGAGGCCACAAGGAGCCTTCATTGTGTTACCATGCATCGGGTCGGTAACCCATGTTACTATCTGGACAGCAACATGAACAGCACGTATGAGGTGAGGGAGTTTCACTCTAATGTTTTCAGGTAATGCTTGCTCATAGGGAAGAAGAAGGCACTCATGTGATGTCCAGAATTCTGTTGTCATAATAGGGTGATCCATAGTGAGTCCATCAGCTGCCATGAACCACAAAGCCTCATCAACTCAGTGAGCCAACTCCATGTACCTGTTCAACATTGTACAAGAAATGCAGTGGTCAGCATATGCCTGTGGCTTTAATGAATTAAATGAATCAATTCATCTGAGAAACATTCAATGAAGAGTTGGAGACAGTTTAAGATCAAGATAACCACCTGTCACCTTGTTCACTATGCTATGTTCCAAATTAATCAGCATGGAAATACACTGGTGTTCCGCAATTCCCCCATTTCAAAAACAGAATTGCTCCAATGCAAGATGATCCCAAGATTTCACATGAATAACATGATATATTATCTTAAAAATGAAAATTACCATAGGCGTCAGTGGCTGGAACTGACGGCGAATCAAGGACATCAGTCACTGGCAGGCACGGGGCAGGCGAGCTCTCAAACTCGGCGGGCCGCAGCCAGGCCTTGAGAGCCGACTGGACGACCAGAAGAAGCACCAACGGGACGTCGAGCCAGACATTCGTCCACTGTACCAGATCCTGAGAAATCCAACAAAACAAACACCAATCAGACCAAATAGTGATCATGGAGGACATCACGAGACAAGAAAAACCCACCGGATCCGGCATCCACGACTCGCTCAGCCTCCCCCCGTCTTCGACCACTCCCTCCGCCTAAAGGCCAAAGCCGCCCCAATCCGCTCGGCACCGAACTGCACCGTTGTGGCAGCTCAATCCACCGTTGGGGAGCTCGATCTGCTATCGGCGTCGACTGATTCGCCACCCAACGCCGACGACGGCTGGACCGAGCTCAGGGGAGGTGGATCTGTCGTCGGCAAGCTCAGAGAAGGCCGATCCATCGCCAGCGAGTTCGGGGGAGTTGGATCCATCGCCGGTGGGCTCGGTGGAGGGACAAGGAGGGGGAGCGGCGGAGAGGGAGTGGCGCCGTCGGTGGGTGGTCGAGGAGGGAGAGCAGCAGATGAGAGGAGAGAAAACCAAGAGGAAAGAGCAGAAAAAGGAAGACGGCGGATTCATCGAGAGCAGCTGAGCAGGAGGAGAAATGGGGAAAGTGATGGGGAGCGGTTTTTTTACATGTCCCTGCCAGTGTCTAAGAGAGTGAGATGGGAGGATAAGAACAGAGTATCGTGTATAGAGATAAATTGAGAATGGAAGAACCGAGAGGTCCGAGACTGCTCTGCTGCTGCTTTCTTATCCCTTCCCTGTCACTCTGCTTCCATAGTTTTTATTTCTGTTTTTTTTCTCTACGTCTAATCTGCTTCTTATTTTTTTCGATATTTGACAATGTGATTTATAAATGGAAAACAATACTCCCATTGAAAAAATAATAACACTGATTTTCATAATTTGGCTATGCCATTAGCTTTCATAATTATGATATATAGTTTAATTTTTACGTCAACATAAATTTAATTTAGTTTTTATCTATTGCAACACGAGGCAACTATGTGGATCCACGGATATTGTGTGTGGTGCATAATGCAGACAATATACGAACAATAACGGATAATTCAAAAATCAATAATTTTAAGTAAGTAATTATTTTCTTTCCGTCATCCGCAAAACACGATATTTTACAGTCCAAGCACCATCTCAATTTTGTAAATAATATCATGCGCTTGCCATGTGAGAGTTGATAGAGAGCGCGTTATGACAATATGAGTATATCAAAATGGGACAGTGTTTTATATCCGTTCTTGAAATATTTATTACATTTAAACGTTCTTTTTACCCGTAGCGAAGCACGGGCATTTTACTAGTAATATAATAGATAGATAGATAGAAGATGTTTTTGCCGGTATTTTGGTACGTCATCCGTGTATAAGTCGGTTTTTAAGTTCGTTTGCTTTTAGAAATACATATCCGTATTTAAGTCGGTTCTGAAGATCGCTCACTTTTGATAATACAGAATGAATCGTATAAGAAATTTGTTTAAAAAAATTCCCACGCTAACTTATACAATCTGACCCGCACCCACCAGCGTGGCACCCGCGGAGTCTCTGGAGTGCCGTTCTCGAACCAAAACAGGCAATCCACGCCGTATTCTCGCATTGTGTTTGTTGTAGCTACGCATCCGCCGTCTAATTAATCACATCGATCCGTGTCGTCCTTCATCCGACGATTCCGACGGCGCTTACAGATCGAGACGACGAGATCGATCCCTCTTCCCAATCCCCCCTTGCCCTTGCGTTCGCCGCCGCCTTCTCCCTCCCCTCCGCCGCCTCCTCCACCACCATGTCTCCGCTTTTCCCTTCCTGGTCCGTGCTGGACGGCGACGCGAGCCGTGACGCCGCCGCCTACGCAGATCAGAGACCACCCTTGCGGTGCCTGCGCTTGGCTACCAAAAGCCGTCACGCGTGGGGGTTCGATGCCTTGGGCGACAACGTCCAAGCCGGCTTCGACGCCGAATCGTTGGTGTGGTGTCTGGATCTGGAAGCGCGCATCGCCGATGCCCCAAAACTCTCCTCTTTCTCCCTGAGAGGAGGAGAGAGCAGCAGTGGAGAGAGATTGTTTCCCTTCGTCCACGCCGTCGACAAGAACATTGTGGTTTTCACATCTGACCTGCCTCAAGCTCCTTGTAGCGCCTACATCATCTATGACACAATTGGCAAGGTGCTCTCCATGATCCCTTGTGAACCTTCCTGCTGTGAGGTCAGCCGTACCACACGACTTCTCATCGCGCGCCGCCACCCCGGCTATAATGACCAGTCGTACGCACTGGTTCTCATGGCCAAGATGCCCAAGTTCGCCGGCGAGGACGACGCCAAGTTCCGGCGGGGACGACGCCAAGGGCAAGGGGAAGATGCCGGAGTTCGCTGAGGAAGACGTTCTCACTGGAGACGAGGAAGACGTTCTCACCGGAGAAGACGTCTTCCTGGGCAAGGCCAAGAAGGTGGAGTTCGCCGGTGGAGAAGACGACGGCGACAACGACATCAACTGGCAAGATGTCCTTCTCCTGTGGCCTTCGTCGTCCTCTTCGCCGTGGGAGCTGACCAAGACGGCCAACCTACCCAACCAGTGGCTGGACGATGAGAGCTCGTTCGTAGCCGACCTGACTTTCTCGTTTGAGGGACATGGTTTTTGGGCGGATCTCCTGTGCGGCGTACTGTTTTGCTCTTGTGATGACCTACTCTCCGACAAGGTTGATCGGGTGGACTTCAGCTTCATCAATCTTCCTATGGGATATCAAGCTGATGTCCGGTACACAGGGCAGGTGGCAGCACCAGAAGTTTATCGCACCATGGGTTATGCTGGGGGATCCATCCGATTCATCTCCATCGATGGATTCCTTGAGTACATCAATCCCGGGGATCGCTATGTGACATTATGGAGGCTGCTGCTGAAGAGTAACACTTGGGTGAAAGAATATGAGATCAGTCTAAAGGAGTTGTGGAATCAACAAGAATTTTGTAATGCAAACCTGCCGATGAGTATGACACCAATGTACCCCATCCTGAGCTCGCTAGAGGAACATATCATCTACTTCATGTTAGGCGAGTTCAACCAAGATCGGGATGGGATCGCCTTCCCAGTCGGTGCTTACTACTTACTTCAGGTTGACATGAGCTGTGGGAGAATCGTGTCGTCTGCACCCCTCCCTTCTGCATGCAGTTTGGCGCCAGTCGTCGGTGGCTCTGATTTCATAAGTTACCTCCCTCATGATACTCTTTATGACAGAGATGTGCTAAGCTCAGTTGTATCCCAAAGTATGTCAGGCTGTTATCAGTTCGGCCCTGCAACTGGTTTGGTAATTACACTGCTTCCAAATTCTGGTTCACTTGAACCATTCAATTCATAATTGTTGAATATGTGTGAAGTCTATGTTCAATCAACAACTCAACATAGCATAGTACTATTATTCATCTAAGTCTATGTTCTTATTTTGTTTGACAGGTATGAAGGGACTGCAATCTGGAGGTGGATTGGGACTGTTGGGCAACTGTAGCAATTTGGAAGGGAGGCTGCTGGTGACCATTTTGAAAGGGAAATTTTGAAAGGGAAGCTAATAGTAGTTGACACACATCTTGGTCTTTTATGTGGGAACACTTTGTTAGCTGTTACACTTGTTCTATCATCTGTTCTTAGTACTGATATGTTAATTTATGGCGCTGGCCGTCAGCCGGTTGTGGTATGTTAATCTATAGAACATAATAATCCTACCTACAATTTGCCCATGCTACTGTTACACTGTTCCCAGCTACAGTCTACCATTGTCGTTGGTCTGATCATGAGCTCTGTGCGCAATCTGGCCGTCCGTGCGGACTGCCTGCCCTCTTTCCCATTTTGCCCCTGTTTCTTCCTCTTCCATTCCGTGTTTATCCTGTCATCTCTTCCAGTCCACGCAAGCACGCCACTACATCGCCAAGATCGATCCCCTCCCATCCGCCATGGTCGATCCCCATCCTCCCTCACAGAAATCGTCGTGCCATGTTCGATCCTCGTCTCTCGTCGCAGAAATCGCTCGCACAGCCGCATCTTCCGCCGCCACGGCTTCTTTCGTCGCCTTTCTTAGCAGCGGCGCCCTTGGCTCCCTTTCTTCTCCATGAGCACTGTGTGCAGGTCTGAGGTGGCGTCCAAGAAGATCGGCAGCAGCGCCCTTGCTTTCCCCTCCTTTGGCAACGATCTGCATGCTCCGGTTTACCTTGCTTTTATTCAGTTCAAGGTTAACACTGCCTCCATTTTACCGTGTAAGATTCGATATCTCCATGCATGAGTGGGTCCTGGTGTAGTCATGATCTATTAAGTATGGACTTTGAGCCATGCACTCGATTAGCCGGATTTGATGTATCATGTATGGACTTGATCTGTGCATTCCTTCCATTAACCTTTATTAGATTCCTTTTGATTCTCCTTTACTGAAGAATTACAGCGGAAGGTGCCACGTTCCAATTGAGCTTTCTCGTAATACATAATATTTTTAGTGGGAAATTGTGAATCCCTGTTTTGACTTTCAAGATTTTTTTCACCTCATCACTCGAGCATTACTTCTGATGATAAGCTGATAACCTTCTGACAATCTTTATAGTTTTGAAGTCTTACAGGTTTTGGGGTCTACCTTCCATGAATATAATGGCTACTATTGAAACCAGAAATAACTGTATGTTCCTGTTTCCTTTTCCTTCTCAGATTCCCACCATGGTGAATGCTACTTTGTTATGCAAAATTGAACCAGCTGTAGTTTTGGGAATGTTTGCCTACGTTATTTCAGCACAACTTGAGCCATTAGACACAAATTTGCATTGAAGCAACACTTGAAAAGGATCTTCATCATCTACAAATATTTAGTAGTCTATTACACCCATCTGGTGTACAGTTTGTTTTGTCATTGGAGTGCTTACTAGATAGTTAGGGTGATCAACTGCTCTTTCCATCCTAGGGAGAAGGAATTTCACACTATTATAGTCTATACAACTTCTTTGCTGCTGCCTTTTGATGCCAGCATTTTGATCAATTCTTTTCTGAACTCACCACAGTTGTCTTAACCATAATGCAATCTGCCATGTGTTCTCCTTAATACTGTCACTTAATTGATTTTAACACTTATATCTATCACTCTTTGTGTTGATCTGTTAATCACTCTTTGTGTTGATCTGTTATCTGCATTCTAATATGCATGCCAACTTTGCTTCTACATACCAAGTTCTTTCTTTGTTTTCCCCCTTCCTACGTTGGCATGGCACACATTTTTTTTTAGTTGTACAGCTGATACCTCAGCTTAATTGTGAACTAATCCCTTAGTTTCATACTCAATCACCCATTTCTTCGAAAACATAATGATAGGGTGGCTTGAGATTCAATGCTTGAACTGCCTTTCAATGTTTGCCTTTTCTTTGTGGGCATGTCTAGATGTGATTCCTTCCTGTTTCTTGCTTCAGCCGTGATTGGTGTACTGCTTTAACCAATGCCTGCACATTCTGGAAGACCATCGCCAAACCGATATCGATATCGTACGCACAACTGAGTCATCTCTGCTAGCTTGGTTCCAAGTTAGTGCTCTATTGTCTTGACTCTTGAGTGCCATGTGTAAAGGCCTCCAGTTCTGTGATCTGTGTATTGTTTTCTCCAATTCCAAAAGCTTATAAGTTATACACACCTGTTTTGGCAGGTGCACCTCTACTAGCTAGCGATGATGAGTTCGCTACATATTTCCGTTTGTCTTCAAGGCGATCAATGCCACAGTGTCTATATACCAGTCCAATTGGTATGTCCCAGTGCAACTTTTAAGCTGTTGGCTCTTCATGCCTTACTTTATGCTTGCATAGCATATCTCATGCCCTTCTTGGACGATATCATGTGTAGCATGCTACGCTACATTCAAAATTTTATTTTGTTGGCTCATAATAAGGACAAGATCACACATGCTATGAACGGTCCTCTCATTTACTTTATGACACAACTGATCATTTCTATCCATTTTATTAGAAGTGCCATGCTTAGACATTGCAACCACTGCACAGGCATGTAAAAAATGTATCCTGATGACATTAGTTTATTTGTTTTGCATAATCTTGTCCAGCATAAGACTTCCAATGGTATACTTTTACTCACATATTCATTTACTTTCCAGTAGTAAATAGTAAGCCACACATCTGCATCTGGTGTTACCTTTGCTGTTGCCATTTCATAAAATATTGTCAATCCATTCCAAATATTATCCATCGGAGTATGAAATAGGGTCTTCGTCTATTGGATATTACTAATGAAGTTTTTGACACATGAAAATATTTTTTTAGTGAATTGGTTGTTTATAGTTATAGGATTGATTAGGTCTCACATGTCCATTTTAGTAAAACGTTTTCTCCCAAATGATGGATTGATTCTGTTCAAATTTCATCAGGTGCTTATATTGGCAATATTTCCATTCGGTGCATTGATCTTCAGTTCAAGATAAATAATGGTCTGCGTATGTTCTATTTTTCTTACCGTTGTCATTGTCAAATGTTTGTTGGGGATGTTACTGATACACGAGCTTTTGATCTACACAAATGCCATGGTGGTTGTTACCTCTAACCATATTATATTACCATTGCATTTATATCTTAAGATTTAAATTGCATTTCGACATAAAGGGATTATGATATTTTAAAATTTTTCTAATTTACGTTTGGTATACCATGACAATAATATAGCAGTTTAGGTTTTTAGTTAATTGTATTGGTTGAGAATGAGTTGGAGTTGTTTTGTTGGATTTCTATCGTTACAATTGTTGCTTTCAATTGTGTACGAGAAAATATTTCAAACTTAACTTGACAGGCCATATATATTCTGCAGTATATTTTACACACCCATTGGCTTGGAAACTAAGTCTAACTAGCATATTTTATTTGATTCAACCACTCTTTTGTTGATTAAATAATGGTTAGTTTGTCCCAGATTATTTGAATTTCTACATATATAATTGATCGCCTTTTTTCATGACTTTCTTTTAGTAGAGTTTATGGTTTGATGCATGTGGTTTACTATCTGCTACGTATGTTAACTTAAAAAGGAATCTGAGCTTGTAATAGTTGTGTGCTACTATTGTCATTTTAACATGGGTCTATATTGTAACTGGGATCTACCTGAAGTTGAGTTGGTGGTTCTACTATTTTGTAATCACGATGAAGTTGACTTGGTTCTGCCATTATGTAATCTCAAGCGATATGCTGATTTTTTTTTCTTATGTCTATACATATTACGAGTTGGTGAATTCTGTACATATAATCATATGATTATATGCTCAAACAGTGTTTTCCAGCTTCCCGCGGCAATGCGCGAGGTCCTTTCTAGTTAAACCTCTAGTTTTCCTGCGAACGGTGCAAGGCTCACGAGAGGCCTCCACATAGCTACAGTGCAACAGTTCTCTCTCCCCTTGCGTCAGCCCTCCGATCTGACAGCCCCAGCCGATCGGAGCCGTTCGTGTGTCCGCCACCTCTCCTAGAGCCCTCGTCTCTCACCCTAATCCCAATACTAGAAAGAAACGTGCGGCGCCGCGCACAGCTGGACATGATTTACTCTTCGCCTTGTTCGGTTGGGCCGGGAACGGCCGGGATTGGGCTGGAACCCCATGAAGTACACCGAAGGTCCCTCAACTTGTCATCGAATTACAAAATCATCCTCCAACCGCAAAACCAGATATAGGACATCCCTCAACTTACAAAACCGTTCACTTTAGATCCTTCGGTGGTTTTAACCCCGATTTCGTTCGACGTGGCGGCTGAGTCAGCGTGGGACCCACGTAGGCCCCACATGTCAGGCTGTACAGTCAGCACCTCCTTCTTTCCCCTTCTCTCCCTTCCTCTTCTGTCTCTCACTTTTCTCTCGTAGATCGGCCGACGGGTGGGGAGGAGACCGATGGGGACATGGGGCGTGGCGGGAGAGGATTTTCGGCGACCAGCGACGCCGCAGCGGCGGGGGCGGCGATGGCAGTGACGCGGAGCTGAGCAGGGGAGTAGCTCTGTCTCTTCTTTATTTTATTCTCTCTGCCGCAGGGGAGTAGCAACGGGTAGCAGCGAGCGGGGGCCGGCGGAGGCATCGTGTGAGGGCGCGGCGGGCAAGTGCGTGGCGGAGGGCGGAGGCGGCCTGCGAGCGCGCGGTGGCTGGCAGAGCAGAGCGGAGAGGAGGAGGGAGGCACCACGACCGTACCTCCGGGAACCCCGCCATGTCCTCCTGCAGCGCCACGCTCATCTTCTTCCTCGTTCCCTCGCTTCCCCGTCAAGGGAATGGCGTAGGAGTGGGCAGCGGCGGTGGCGGCGGGGTTAGGCGACAGCGATGGCGGCGTCGAGAGATCTCCGGCTCACCACCGACGCCTTCCACCGACGACGATGAGCAGCGGGGACGAGGCGGCTCACCGCCGACGCCTTCCACTGCATCGCTTGATGTCGCGCCCAACTCCCTTGCCGCCGTCGGCCTGCTCCCGCCCGTCGCCGTCCACTCCTCAACCGCGTCTCCGCTGTTTCCTTAGCCACCGCTGCTGCGGGCTCGCCTTCGCCGCCCTCGTTTGCCCGCCGCCACGCGTCGCTGTACCTCACGCGGCTGTCGCCGTGCTCCGGGAGCCCCGCCATGGCCTCCTGCAGCGTCACGCTCCTCATCTTCTTCGTCGAGCCCTCCTCGCCGCGCCACCCTTCCTTTGCCTCGCCGCCGTCGTCGGGAGATGACGGCCTGGCCCTAATCCTCTCTGCTCCTCTAATCGGTCCCAAACCGGCACACGCGGCGCGTCGTACGCCGCCGCCGCCACCCGGAGTCCCGCGCCTTGGCGTCCTCGCCGCCACCGCCCGAGCCTCTCTGACGGCTCGACCCCGAGGTCGCACGCGCGGTGAGCCGGTGACGCTCTCCCTTCTCCCGCATCGTCGACGACACCGCCGCCGCATCACCGGCCCGCCGGATGTCCTCTCCCACCTTGCCCCGACGAGCTCCCCACCCGGCGGGCATCCTGTAAAGGGGAAGAGAGAGAGAGAGATGAGGAAGGGGGAGAAGGGGGGAAGAGAGGTGCTGACTGTACACCCTGACATGTGGGGCCCACGTGGGTCCCATGCTGACTCAACCACCACATCGGACGAAACCGGGGTCAAAACCACCGAAGGACCTAAAGTGAACGGTTTTGTAAGTTGAAGGATGTCCTATATCTGGTTTTGCGGTTGGAGGATGATTTTGTAATTCGATGACAAGTTGAGGGACCTTCGGTGTACTTTTTCCATCATCCCCCACACGGAATTAATCCAGGCCCACAGAAAAAATGGTGTTCGGTTCAGCCTGGTCGGGATTCTAACCAGGCCCATCCCGGCGTCTTCCCACTCAAGACGTGTGGGAAGAATTCAAGAAACCCCCGCGACGGGGTGCGAGCGCTCAGGGCGACGCAGTGGTGGCTGTAGCGGCCGCGCGACTCGGACACGAAGGCGACGGCGCCGCGATGCCCCCCCCTCCGGCGGCAGTCCCCTTTGGTGACCACGTTCTCGCCGGTAAATCTCTACTCCCCTCATCTCTCCTTCGTCCTATGGTTAGGGTTCCTTGATGCCATTAAATCCCCACCTCACGCGTGGCGGCGGCGGTCGGTGGCGAGCACCAAACAGGAGGAGGAGTGAGCGGAAAGGATAAGGAGGTATAGCTTGCAATGAATTGGAGGAGTGGGAGGCCTGAGTTGCAGTTCTTGGTGCTGTTTTTTTTCTTCTTCTTCTTGTGTTCTTGGTCAGAAATTTGAACTCTGAAATTCCAGTATCTAGCATAGTAGTGTCATAATTGTGTGTCATATTCGGATGATTCCTGGACTTTATGAGCCCATCGTAGCATTCCTAAAAACTAAAGTGGTATAGTTGTGTGTCAGATGAGCTATGGATCATCAGCAATCCATGAATTGAACTACTGAAGTAACCATGGAAGGAGCAAAAATGTTGTAAAACGTAGCAAAAAGATTTACTGCTACAATTTTATTGGCCTCAGAGCATAAACAGTTTGTAACCGCAACACAAGAACATAAAAGATTGCTTTCATTCAGTCATATTGACATCTCTGTCAAGCTGCATTCACTATACACACTATGTTTCTTGTGTTCTTCTCTGAACTCTGAATTCGCGATATTCGGTATTTAGCATAGTACGATGCACATAAGTTTCGTTTGTAGATTTTCTTGCTTTAATTTTACTCATGGCCAATAAACTTAGAAGGGAAAAGGTTGGTCCGTGATACTCCTTTTGTTGCACAAGCGCGCACAACTACTGTCGTTCAGATATTTTGATTTTCACTTGTAGTTGATTCCAGAATACAGTTGCAAGCTACAATCACTCGTTTGTCAGACTCGGTTGGACTGTCATTTTGAACGGATTTTATTCATTATGCATCTATTGCTGAATAGAGTGTTGATGAATCCAACTTTTCTATTCTATGCACAAGCTAGGCATGCTGATTGATCAAGCTAGATAGCAGAGTCTGACAAGGAATGCATACATGTATCAACTTGTAATTATAGTGACATATGCAAGTATACGCAGTACAACCAAAGTCAAATATGGATTTTTGAAGTTCATTAGAGCCGTCAGCTCAGCTAAGGGCAACAAGTATATGATATGTGATGTTTATATGCTCAATTTAATGTTTATCCCTTGGCTATATTTAACCACTATATTTCATACTTTTGTCACTGCCTCCGCGGGGGGGGGGGGGGGGGGGTTACTCTTGAGTAGTTAGCATGCATCTTTAGTAATACGAGCTATTGTTTTTCCTGTATGCTATTGATTCTCTTTGAACATAAAATTTACCCGCTGAAATCAAGAACTTTCCTTTCTTTTTCAGGCTGTGTTCGGTTACTGGGGTTGGGAACCCATCTCCCCGCACGGAAAATGGAGCGGTCCATTAGTGTGTGATTAATTAAGTATTAGCTATTTTTTTCAAAAATGGATTAATTTTAATTTTTTAAGCAACTTTCATATATAAACTTTTTGCAAAAAACGCACCGTTTAGTAGTTTGAAAAGCGTGCACGCGGATAACGAGGGAGAGGGGTTGGGAGTGGGCTGAAACGAACACAGCTGTATAATGATGATCGAGATATCTTCTGCATATATTTGGTAGGAGGCTTTCACCCTTCTAATTTGTCTTCGAATTCATTATGTGTTGCAGGGAGTCTGGCAATCTGCCATCATGCAAAGCCCCAGCAAGATTTCTTATGCTGAGGTGATGGCATGAAGATGGCCTGAAGACATGAGTAAAATTGATGAATTCATCATTGTTTATGTGATTTACTGATTGTAGTGAGTGGACACATGTGACATCACTTGCCGTTTATGCTACGGTGACAACCATGTTTTTGAGCTCTTTTGATTCAGCAGTGCTTACTTGCAGTGTACAGAACAGGCTTTCTTTTTCTTAATGTTTTTCATGATCTGATGCATACAAATAGCTCAAACGCAACTAGTATACTGCTGCTTTGTTTTGTATGAAATCCCAGTCAAAACGAACATGGGATTTAGGAGAGGGATTAGGATCATGCAAGGGATTCAAACCCCAATGGGATTGAGTGATATGGGAGGGATTCACTCACTCCCTCCCTGGATAGATTCCCCTTGGGGATTGAAACCCAAGGAAACGGACAAGGCCTTTGGATTTTGATTTCTCAAGAAAAATGGATTTTGAAAATTCTGTACAATATCATGAAATTTCCTGTAGCGTATCTTTAAGCCTTGTGTGAAGTGTTCAAATTTTAATGTTTAGTTAGGAATTATCCCACCAATCCCCTTGATCCAAACAAACATCCCATGGTGGAGGGGAACTGGAAGGGGATTGGGTGGCGGGAGAAACCCAAACCCCCCTCTGGGGTGAATCTCCCTAGGAAATTTTCTGTTGCTGCCGAACAAGCTTTAGAGTTTAGACATACACAGTTACACACACGTGGACACGTCATTTCGAGGAATACCTCTGAGGCTTTTTTCGGTTTGGAGGAGATTGAGGGGGAATAATTCTATACTACAATATCGAGGTACGGAATAAATCTCCTCCCTGAATTAAGTGAACAAGGCCTAAAGGAAAAAGGAACAGCCCTTGCAAAAGACCACCTCCTAACTAGCATCTACCAAAGCATCAAACCAGTTACTACCTCCGTCCCATAAAAATTGCATTTCTAGCTAATTTAGGACAAAATAGTAGGATTGGAAAATGACCATGATAACCTTATTTAATGAACCCACTACATGCACACATTCCATATATACAAATGATTAAAAAGAATTTGAGAGAATTAACACATATAATTAGCATACTTAATAAAATTACAAGCATTAGCAGCCCAAATTATGTGGGATGGAAGAAAACTTATATAGATGAATCAATTGGTTGGGCCTCACATGGCTAGAAATACAATTTTTGTGGGACAAAGCCTTGGAGCTAGAAATGCAATTTTTATGGGACGAAGGGAGTACCACACACAAGTCCAGACATCATCAGTCTCAAATAGTAGGATCTAAACAAAAGAGAACTAGTAGTATTAGATATCTACGGGCCGCACGTCGGCATGTCTCAACTCTCATCTTCAGCAGGATTCTTTTTTTTTTTTTGAAGCAATACTTTAGCAGGAATTCTTCAACTAGTTGTTCTAACTTCTAACCTGCTCCGGTCTTCTCCTCTCTGCAAAGACTTCCATCGCTGTAGAAAAGAAATCTAATGTATCACTTGCATAGGTGGTTTAAAAAGGATATTTTCAAAGACAAAATCATCTCACTCAGTCCACAAATGCCAACTGATAGCTGCTAAAATCATGATGCAAATGTTCAGTTGTTCGATGTTCAAGTTTTCAAACCCAATTGGGTTTGAAAACTTGAACGGAGTCAGCTTTGTATTGGCAGCTTTAAACGGAAACAGAGTCAGCTTGTATTGCCAGCTTTAAAGGGAAACCAAGTTTAGGCTGGGTACTCCAGCTAAAAAACGAAAACGCTCAGCAGAGAAGATTACTCGACCACCTCAGTTTCTACACAACTCTTAACGAAAGGCACTGGACATCATTCCTCCTGAGAACTAGTAACGCTAAACTCTACTAAAGCCCTAACTCCCAGGGAGGCAGGGAACAACTACTTTTAACCAACACTCAGTCCTTGAGGGGTGCAGATGATTAACAATTTCTTGCACATGTTCCAGGAAGACATTCAATCATCTTCCACTGCATCTGTAGAGAAAATACACGAAAAACCAAAGTCAAAAGTTTGAAAAGGAATTTGTTGCTAAAAAACACATCATTTCAAATCAATCATTGCGTCAAACAGAATATTTCGATTTGCGTCAAAAAAAATCAATCATAAGCTTCAAGTCACGACAGCTAACAAAGCAACTACTTGACCTTTACCATATTTAACCCTTGCTTGCCCTATAAAAAGAATAATTGAAATCAACAGGAATACCAGCCCAACATATTATATCCCTTTTTCTTTATCAAAAGGGCAATACCCCTCCATTTCTATTAAAAGAAATGTGAAAGTTTCTACAAGGTCACTCATGCCTGGACAGTTCCAGGGCATCGAACAAAAAGCTTAAAAACAGAAAATCGTTCAAACTAACACACAGCTACATCATCAGGATCTATCAGTCTATCACTACCAGGCTAAACTGACAAACACAGAAAACTTAAGGAAAAAAAGAACTTCTACAACTGATATAGCTCCCCATCCATATGAATTCATTTCCAGGATCTGTTCAAACCAATAAAAACTTCAGAAACCCTTTCCTTGAAAGCTTTTTCTTCGCGCTTTGTCATACATACTCCAACCTTTGCAGAGTCATCCTCCAACCATACTGAGATTTGTAGCTTACAGCAACATTCTGTCTTTCCTCCGACATCTGTAAAACAGACCAAGTTGAAATCCAATTACAAGCACATAAAATAATTTCAGTGGGATCAATGGGAAGTATTTGGTTAAAACAAGCAATATTTCTGGCCTTCCAAATTGCCCAAAGAATAGCAGCAATTCCAACTAACAATAGCTATGTCATTGTATCACCATTCAGTGCCCATCAACCCAAAGCATATGCTTCAGATCTTTAACTGGTTTTAAATTGAAAGCACAAATCACCACATTTCAATTGAATCTTGCCATAGGACATTCAAAAAATAACTGCTGTATCGTTTCTTTTTTTTTTCCACAGAATTGACAATTATCGTTTCCTTTCTTCAATCCCCTTTTCCTCAAGTTATCTTTGGTCAGGATGCTGTTTTTTTATCATTAACCAAATGAAAGTTCTAATCTTCAATGGGACCTTAATTTTCCACACCTTTTTATACATTCCTGTTATATCAGAGGCTACCGCCTGCATTTTAATAGCTTTGTAAAAGGATTTCACGCTAAACTCCCCTTTTTTTTTGTCAAAGTCCATTCTAACTAATCTTTTTCCTCTGCTAATTTTTTTTTTCGCCGGGCCGGCGAATAGCCGGCCGATGTATATTAAGAGTAAGAAAGGGAATGTATTCCTCTGCTAATTTTATATTGTCACAGTAGCTTTGTTGTCTATACTGCAACACAGTAGCTTTTTCCTCTGTTAGTTTTATATTAACATACATATCCCTAATCCACATAGTGTATACATTGAGTTTGTTGCCTATACTGCAAGGGTATCCCTAATCCACATATATCCCTAATTACACTCCAAGCAAAGCAAACCAAAGGGTAATCACACAGGATGTGATTGGTTGTTTCTCTGATTACAAAGTTTGCAAAACTCTAATTGCATTTTTGCTATCATCTTGGAAAGTAGATATATAAACCAACTCACTTTTCTTGTTGGACAGTGGATATATAAATCATTCTATGTCACCTACATTCATGTATAGTGTCCAACAGAAAATGTATGCTCGCTTTATCCCCAGATGCATTAGTATATACATACGTATATATATAACTTGCAGAATCTAGGAGCAGCAAACAGAACAATTACTGGACATGCATGCAAGGAAAACAAAGAAACAAGCTGCACTTCATACCTATGACTATGATGGGTCCAGGATTTCTTCAACTGTAAAGCTTTCATTGCTCTTCTCCTTAGCTGGTGGCCTGTAACTGTAAGTAAGTTTCTTCTCCACAACAGGTACAATATTCGAGAATATCACACAGAGAAGTGCTGTTGCCTGTTTATCGGTACACTTCAAAAAATAAAAGTCTATATTAGAACCATCAAGTAAAACCATCAAATAAAAGTCTATACTAAAACATGTATGAGGTTAGTGATTTTACCAGCCCTTTCTTCATGTGCTTAATAAATATCCGCGCAAATTCAAGCCATGAAAAAACTGATAAGGCACGATATCTTTTGCCTCGTAACTCCCCAGTATGTGGATCATTAAACTCAAAGAAGAGTACTTTCCTCATTTCAGGTGATCGCATAGCAGTACGATACCAGCCTGGAAGTTTGATATCACCCAAAGCCTTGACAAAATTACCCCAATCAGCAGAACCAACCATGAAGTCCTTACGAATGTCCAAAGAGGTGAACAAATTCATGTGGGCCGAACAAGATCTCAGAGCACTACAATTTTTGTAGAAACCTCTATAATTGGCACTGAGACCAGTCTCATGTGTGGGGCTTCTAAGATCCTTAACTAATATATCAACAAACATTGGAGAGTCACCTTGGCCAGGACGAAGCTCATGGATCCCTGCTTCCAGCGCTTCAAGCTTCCTGCGGTTAAACCTGAACCAGCAGCTAATTATGCTAGCTACATCACCCATGTTGAGTTTGTACTCCTCTCTCCTGAGGTTCCACCTTATTTTTACTCCTTTCTTAAAAGCTATACAACCCAGATCAGGGAGGAACACCAGATCAGCTATTGTAAACCTGGAAGCAAATCTGTTGGCAGCATGGATAATCTCCAACAACTTTAAAAGTTGGCAGATGATTTTTCTTGCTGGTTTTCCAAGTATGATAAGATATGAACAGAACCCGCTCACTCGCAGATCTGGTGGTATCCATATGATTTCAAAAAGGGAATCACCTAATGATCTGATATGTTGTTCTAAAGGAATGCACTTGAAACCGCCAATCCTACATTTTAAAATTTATCTATCATAAGAGAACAAAATTCAAAAGTAAAAAAATAATTATTGCAATAGATGAAAGAAAATATACTTACGTATCATTGCATCCACCCCTCATACGTGGCATTATAAGAAAAGTTGAATCCCTGTCTGCTTTTAAAGATTCAAGAGTCAAGCTCTTGGCAATAACTCGCCTACCATGGTAGACATAGACATCATGCAGAGAGACGCGATGTTTTGATAGAGCTAAAGCTACAATGTCTTCAGCTGAAGACTTCAGTTTCATTGTCAGTGGAACTATTTGGAAGTCCAGCACTTTGACAAGGATCTGTGAGGCATGAAATTTAGTTCCCTGGTTAGTCACTCTTTTAACTGAAATATATGTATGCATCCCAAATGAATTAAAGTAAAAAAAAAATACTACATAGGAAAACAGTCCCTTAGTTACCTGGAGTGTTGGAGCAGAATTTTTAACTATGTCATGCTCATTGCCAGGGGTTGAGCCACTACCTGAACTATGTCCTTTAATGCAGCAGTGTGCATGTGATGCAGCAAGATGAGAATAATAGGCCGGTGGGACTGCACAGAAAGAAAAAGAAGCACTCAATCAGCAGCGAAAAAAACAAGGGAAAGAAAATATTTCTTCTATAGTTCATTTGCTAGTTCCAGAGAGTAATATGGGAGCATCACAAAGACGAGGCTAGGATATGAATGCAATGGATTTGAAAAGCAAATGTTGAGCAACAGCTAACATGATGACATCGATGGTGCATTAGCAGCGAGGAAAACAAAGTAAAGAAAATATTTCTGTAGTTCCTTAGGTCGTGTTTCCTTCAGCACCTGGGCTGAGCTAATGAGCCGCACGCATTGGTGGCGCATAACAAGATGACAGTAGTGCACTTCTCGTTAAAAGCATATCACATGATGGATTGAGTGCATTAAAGTAAACAAAGACCCAATTTCAAACATGCTAAATAAGAATCTGTATTGTTGAGAATAATATGCTAATAAGATTAGTCCAATTCACAGTAAAACCATTCACAGAAACTAGTGTATACATCTGTTAAGGTAGCATATCTACGAAGATGCAGAAATAAAAAGAAACAAAGATGCAAGAAAAGAAGACTCACCCACAGACACTGCATGGGTGCATCGTGCATAGCTGCATTTTGCCAACAGTAGGAATTATCAGAGTTGAGGCAGCCGAAAGACTAAGGGAGCTAAGCAACTAAGTGGAGATAGAGAGAAATGAACTTACATATAGCAAAGATTGTTGGTCAGGGTCTGAAGTTCATCAGCTGTAAAATGGTTCTCATCATAAAGGACATGGTAATGAGTTGGCCTGCTAGTACCCTGAGAAAAGGAATGTCAACAGCACACATTAACTGAAAATTTTGTAGGCTGGAAAAATTTGTGCAATCTGCAAACAGCTTCCAGCATGGGTTTACCTGTATGCCAGCATGGCTACACAGGTAGAAATAGAACTCTGTAGGATGGCAAATCTGGCGGTCCTTGACAGTTCCTGCAGGACCAAAAAGAAACAGATTACAACAATATATCCAATTATCAAATGCCTGAAGAAGTAGCAGACGTATGTTCTCAGTAGCAACCAACAAGAACACTGACCAGGAAGGATGTTTCCGCTCTTGTCAGTCATGTCTCGCCTCCCATGAACCTCTGGGAAAAGCCTTGTGTGATGCCTTTTCTGGACTACTACAAATGTGACAGGTGGTAGATATCCCTCCTCCAAAGATGCACAAGCCTTGCAATGTAAAAGGATTAAACTCAGAAAAAACAATGAAATTGGCTTGTCCAGAATAGATAACACAGACAGATTTATCATGATGCGAAGCTCACCTTTCTGATGGCATCCATTTCATGAAGAAGCACACGGCTGAACTGACCTTCACTTACACCATCTCTGTAGAGGAGAATGACCACTCAACAAATTTCATTTAACTGGACATATCACTGAACAGAACAGAATTTGCAGGACATACCTATAGAAGATTATCCTCTCAGGCCTTCTGCCAGTCTTCTTGCGGAATGCGATAAGGAACTCCCTGTAAACAAGAGCATAATGGTCAGTTCCCAGATGAACCTACGATAATATACAATTGCAATACCAGATTAACCACAAATTTTACCTGATCATCCCACCATTTACAACCTTCACTGGATCTTTACCAACACTAAAGAGATCTTCTATTATCTCCTGTCTATGTGATTGAGCAGAGACCAGACCTCGGTATTTGGTGATTTCAGGCCAATCCATTGATGCCACAACCTACATGATCACAAAGAAAATAATACCAGTAAAGTTTGCATCTGCGAAGCAATAAACTTTGGGAAGAAAAAGATAGTTCATCTATTGCATCAAGTTATGCACAGGATAGCCCATGATCTTATATTGTAGGACAGCATCAAATAGACCAAGTAATGAATTGAAGAACCATTAGCTAGGAATGTACTAACCGCAGCAATAGATGATGCAGAGTCCTCTCCAGGTGGAGTGTGTGACATCAGCACCAAAGATGATTGTTGGGACTTCTGACACAAATGGTATGCCATTGCGGATAAAGGCTCGCTCAAGAACAGTGTTGCGCCCTCCGACCTGGTTATGGCACAGAATTGTCATATTTCTGGGGGAGAACACTAAAAGCACACAAGATAAAGTCCACAGAATTGGTATACTTCAAGGGGAAAAAAATACAAGCCCAGCAGATTTACAGACCTTGACATTGATTTTGAGTGCAACATTTTCCAAATATTGCTTGTTCGGCCTGCTGGCATGCCTTGGCAAACAACATTGAGATACAATGCCAAGGTCATTCTCACATACCCTTTTAATTTTCCCTGTAAAAATCATGCATATACTACATTTAATAAAAAAAATCAGGGAATGGAAATTTAGATTACCCAACCAACAATATACATACCATAAGAACCACTAACTTCAAGCAGAATTACAATTAAAAGCTGCAGGCCTCCCTTTCCCTCTCTGGCTAGCAGTTCTGATGTTCTGCTGTGAACATCCCTCAGAGCATTCTCTATATTGTTAGGATTTGATGACCGGACATCCACAACTGGTCTTGGATTGAAAGACTACAAGGTCAAGTCAAAGTTAATTGCAGCACATATAATTATTAAACTGCTTTAATAGCATTGTAACTATGCAGGAGTTACCATTCCAGTGGCATTGCACATCTGAATCAGGTCACCACAGAACCTTTGTACCTCCTCTGGACGCATTCGTGAAAAACTCAGACATGTCCAGTTATCCACAGTTCCTCCATTGATCATTTTCTGAAAAAATTAACAAGTATTAGAGTCTTCCTTTAAACACATCAGAAAGTAAATTATGTTGGCTAAGTAGTTGTATCTTTACAGGTTCTGAAATTATGTTTCAGTACCGGCTTGTCAATTTCAGATACTCTCCAACAAAAAATAAAGCTAATGAACAATTCATAAAGAAGTTAAGCAAGTGTACCTAGAATTCACTTTCAAACAAAGGCAATACAAAATTAACTTGAGAGAGAAATTGAGTTGTAATAATAAAGCAAGGCATCACCTTGTTAATCATGTTCCACTGTCCAACACTGGGTGCACAAGTTTTCTCCCTTCCAGAATCATGATACTTCAACTGAAAAGCGCAAAGATTAAGGTTGTTAGAAATTCCCAGAAGTTTAAACAATGCGAACAAAAGAAATGGAATAAAACCTATATAGTACCATGGGTGGAGGCAGCACACGGGCTGGAACAGAGACTAGGTCATTGCAGACCTTGATGCCGAACTCCTGAGCAAACCTATCATCTGTATACTTGTTGTGGAGAACCATCTGATAGAAGATGAAATGGAAGTCAATACAAATATATGATATTATCTTCATTATCTCATCAAGAAAAAAAATAGCCTTATGTTCTACGGATATGTTATTCTAAGAAAATGTGCAGAAATAGAAGGTCATTCAAATGTGAGCCAAAATCCAAAAGCATAAAAATTTGGCTCTGCATCTACATGGTATTGTACCTCATGAATTCTCTGTTCCCTCTGCTGGGGGCGTTGACAGGTTGCTCTAAGGATGTTGGTCACCTGTTTGTTGTTAAGCTTCTTGGAGTACCTCTGCCCTTCTACAATCTTGCACACCTGCAACCACATTTGCATGAACAAACTGCACACAGCATGCACAATTCAGGTAGAGGTAAATGGATGATGAATCAATACCTCCATAGGCAAGTATACAGGACGAGAATCACTGCCAGACTGTAGGCAGGGCCAAGAAGCATACTTCAGTCTGTAATTGTACCTATCCCAGAAGTACTGAACAACAGTCTTCCTTGTCCCATTATCATCAACAGGAAATCTAACAACATCAAACCAGGCATCAGTTTGGAGAAAAACAAGTTATGTTCATGCTATAAAACAGTGAACAAGCATGATAACAAAATGCAGGTCCTAAAAAAGGATGACAAAGCACTGCTATTCTCAGGACAGTGTGCAATCATCCTTTACACATCAATTTAGAACATTGAAGGACATTTAACAGCATTTATAGATATCAAAGGCACATTGAAGGACATTTAACAACATTGACAGTATGGATATCAAAGGCGCATAAATTGATATCTAAGGCATAAACCTTTGAAAAGGATTAAAATGTTTCTATCACAAGTCCACAAACAATTAATGTACTACCATGCCCAAGATCCATAAACAAAGACATTTCAAATATTCCATCAACAATCTACATTGATTTGCTGTATCTTACAGCATGTAAACAAAAAGATAATTATAGCAGAAGCAGAGGAAAGATAAGTACATCAGCTGGCTCATAGGAATGGGGGTAATCCCTGTTATTTTGTATCTTCTGATTTGGTCCTCTTGGTGGTTTGTTTCAATGCGAACCCCACGTAATGCTTTCTTTATCTGAACATCATGAAAAATGAGTTAGTATCAGTATTGCATAATTTTATGAATTCCATCAGTAGGAATATTACCTTCACACGATCCCGGTCTGACAAAGGTCTTGAGGTGTCACGTATGTTCAGGAACTCCTCCACAAATTGGATCACTGTCACAGGCTTAAAAAATGATGTTGCAGATATATCTGAATGAAGCATACCGAACAGTAGTTAGTATCTGAAAAGATCACTTCCATTCAGCGAAAACTGATAAACAATAACTGACAGGTAAGTACCTATATTCAGCGAAAGGCCCATCTGTGTTGGGCGCAGGCTCTGATAGTAACCTCTCCAACACTCAAGTCCCTCACCAATGTCACCCCGGTGACCAAACTGGGTAGAGAAGAAGGATCTGGACACTGTGACATAACTGCAGAACAAGTAGTTGTCAATACAGCATTATTAGTACCCTAGTCAGTAAATAATCAAGCAAAAGTCAAAACAAACACAACAAAAAAATCATACTTCCAAGATGGCGACTACCTGAGGACAACATCAATGACTGACTTGAATGGTTTCTTGGGGCATATCCCTCTGTCTTCCAAGCAAAAACTGCTGGAGGTGGTAGAAGTCTGTTCTGCCAGCAATCCGAATTGTGATCTTGTACTCCCTCTCCGCCCTGCAGAAGACAATAAACAATAACCTGAGACTACAAAACACATAATTCATAAGAACGAAAATATCTAGCTAGCATCATACAAACCTTTCTTTATCCTTCTTTTCGGGATCAATTAGCTTAACCACAAACTCCTCCGATTCAAAAGGGAGTGAACCAGCAGTATAGAGACTTTTTCTTCCATCATAAGCAGGCAATTTGCCACCAAGAGATGTCTTCCCATGCAACTTGATGAGCTCATTGAGTACTTCCCTATTTGTTGCTCTTGATTTTGACTCAGGATTGATTGAAACCTGTAACATAATCCAAAAGGAAGATAAACAGCCTTTCTATAGGACATGAGGGGCAGATTTTTTTTTTTTACAGAGAAGATCTTAGGGCAAAATAAGAAGAACTCGACAGATGAACATCACATAATAACAAAGTAATTTTAGATCAGAGCAGTTAGCCATCACTAACACACCAAACTACTCAAAATTCAGTGTGTTTCGTTCAGATCAGAGCCTATTGATTGTGGAAATCAATGTAGGCGAAAACCACCAAAAAAAACTGAATGCCCAAAAGTAACGAAACCTAAATCAAGGACCAACAGAAATCAAACAACAAAAAAAAGGTGATAGAGGTTGATCTTCTCCATTCAAATCACGATAGAGGTAGAACTACGCTGCTATACTACGGGGTACGACACTTACATGGGGCGGGCATCCATGGCGAACGCTAGAGTCTAGAGGGGAATCGCCGGCGAAGCGTTGAGGAATAATGGGGAGGGAAGAATGGATAGTGAGAGTTGAAGATTATAGCTAGGTTAGAACATGAAGGATGGATGATATAGGGTCTTCTAAGGCCCACAAAAGCCCACATAAACTGGGCCACAGCTCAGAAATCAGAAATCGACATCTTCGAAAGCCCAAAAACATAGAAAGGGACTGAAAAACGTTATTGGACAAAAAAAAAATCATCGGAACAAGTCTATAACTCGATGTCTTACTGTTGAACACGACTGGTTTTTTTTCGCATGGAATAAAAAAGAACGAGATCCCGACAAAGACAACAATTAAAATTTTCAAAAAAAAAATGCCAAAAAAAATAGATTTGCTAAAAATATGTCGCCATAAGGCGCCGTGACGGAGAGTCGAACCCAGACCTTCGAAGTCGCAGACAGAGCTCCTAACCAACCGAGCACGGTATTGCCATTCACTTTATTGCCAAAACAAATTAATATTGAATTTTAAAGTACTTATACACTAATTACCACCCACTTACATTCACTTACACGGCACTTACACTATAATTACATATGTAATTTATTCACTTACACGGCACTTATATAGCACTTACACTATAATTACATATATAATTTAGGGACTTACAATGTAAATATATGCTGACTATTTTTTGGTGAAAAATATGGTGCCATAAATATAGCTACTCCAAAAAAAAAAGCAGAAAACACAGAACCAAAAGCCACATATGTATTCACAGATATTTTAAAAGTGGATCACCACTCTATTTCTGCAACCATTCCAGCGACAATCTTTCGGATGGAGTGTTTGCCGAAGATCAGAAAAAGGGAATCTACCAGGCGTTCAGTGACGACGACTTGATGTAAAAGTTCACGCAAAGGCTTCGCTTAATTACATGAAGAACAGATTAGCATGTTCTTACAAGAAAGCAGCTAGAAGCTCGCGCGAACACATCCGCTTACACAAAAAGAGCAGTCTCCAAAAAACAACAAAAAAAAAAGTCAAACCGAGAGGTAGTGAACGGGCACAGAGGGGCTTCGTCGTCTTCTTCCATCTCTCACACACAAAAGAAACATAATAACTTGTAAAGCAGCACAAAACGAGATGCAAAAGCACTGAACCGAGCAGACCTTTGCTTGCAGAGGGAAAGACCCGAACTAGCTCTCACGAGGGAGAGATCAGGCCGACCCTTGTACGAAATCAGCATTTCCAAAACACAGCACCAACGTTCTCAAGAAAACGACGACATGCATGTAGGCCGGGCGTTGAGCACATGATATGCTTTATGCGTAGTACATGTGCATGCATGTCACCGAAACGAACACAACGGAAGGCTTCGATTCGAAGTTCGAATGGTGAGCTGCGTGTGCTGCGGCCACGAGATTTCTCTCGACATCAGCCAGATCTCTAGCACCAAACTAGCAGCGAGCACCGAAGTGGAAAAGACCAAACAAAAAGGGAAGGATCAAAAAACGGACCAGAAACTTTATGCAAGAAAGGAAACGCGACGCTCCGACCAAACACCCACGAACTGGATGAGATTGGAAGCCACGCTCCATACAAAACTGCAAATGAAAGAATCAGAGAAACGAACTTGCAACGACACAAGGAAACAAAAAGCATCCAAAATCCGTGCATACACACACCCATACAGAGGTAAATTAAACAGATCCAAAATCCACGGGAGCACAGTAGTAAACGGCATGCATGGAGTACACGTAGATCTGGGGGTGGGAAGGAGAGGAAGAGGCCGGGTAATGTGAGCTCACATCGTAGTGGAAGAGGTTCACTACACCAGATCCTCACACCTTTAACGGCATATCTGTGACGGACTTTAGCACTCGTCAGTGATGAGGGTCATCTTTGACGGTTCTTACAGGATGCCGTCATCAGTGAGGCATCCTTCTGCAACCCGTCACAGATAACTAGTTACACCTCTGACGGCTTCCACTTCTGGCCCGTGACTAGTTACCTGTGACGGGTTGCATGATTATAAACCGTCAAAGGTGAGGTTAACTCACCTCAAACGGTCCGGTCACTAGGCCCGTCACAGGTGTGGGTGGGGACTTGACTAGGTCAGACTAATATGTATATCTCCTCTCTCCCTCACACTCTCTCTCTCTCCCTTATCCACACATTTTCTCCACCGCGAAAAAAAATGCCTCGGGCGACGCCGCTCTTGCGACGGCGGCGGAGGACCCGACGCCCTCGGGCAAGGCGGCGCTGGACGGCGGCTCAGCAATACGTGGTGGCGGCGGTGGTGCGGAGGCGAAGCGGCGAGGTGGTGCGGCGGCGCGTGGCGGCAACGGCTCAGCGGTGCGTGGCAGCAGCGGCGGCGGTGCGGAGGTGAAGCGGCGAGGTGGTGCGGCGGCGCGTGGCTGCGAGCGGCGGCGGCAGTACCCCCATCCTCCTCCCCCTTCTTTCTCCCCTCCTCTCCCTTCTCTTATTTCTCAATCCGGTTTTTCTTGAAGTGGCAGCGGCGTGGAGTTCTCAACGGCGCGCGGCGGTGCTGCGGTGCGGCGGCTCGACGCAGCGGTGAGGAGGCGAGGAGGAGGTGAACGGCGGCGCCGCGGCCTCCATCCCCGACCGCCGGGGGCCACCTCCATCCCCCAACTGACGGGCGCCACCTCCGACCGCCTGGCTCTAGATCCGTCCTCCACAAGGTCAGGGGACGCGGATCCGGCCACCGGGCGTCGTCTCCTCCGTCCGCCGGCTGCGTCCCCAACTGACGAGTGCAGAACTGCAGATTCCCCCGTCGGCTGCTTCCGGGTGCAGAAGGCGAAGAGGGCGGCGTCGAGGAGCAGTAATAGGGACGAGGTCATCCGCAAGGAGGAGGAGCAAGGTCGCCTCCAGGCCGAGCTCAAGAAGGTCTAGCGCGCCAAGGAGTTCAAGCCCACCGTGGTATGAAGAAGCCCTGCCCGGCAAAACCCACAACCATTTATTCCCTTCGTTTTTGTTGCTCGTCAGGTGATTGATGAATTGCTTGCTTGCCATGGCTGTTTTATGTGTGATGAAATGTTCGTGAAGACTTTTCTGTGTGATGAAATGTTGTGTGTGATGAATGCGATGGCAACTACCCAGAAGCACTTTTTTTTTGTTTTTTTTTATCGAAATCTACATCAGTGACGGGTGTTGAGCTGTGGTTGTGGCTCTTTTTTCCTTTTTTTTCTTTGGGTGATTTTTCTCATATGTGACCACATGACACAACCCGTCAAAGGTGTCTGTCACCTCTGACGGACCTACACCCGTCAAAGGTGAGTTAAGTCATCAGTGACCATTGATCTGTGACGAGGGGGTCTATCCGTCACAGTTGAGGGTTTGAGCCCGTCACTGCTAGCTTGTTCTGCTGTAGTGGTTGTTGTCGGCGACGTTGACGAGGAAGCGGTTCGCGCGGATCATCACCTCGTTCCCGGCCGTTCCGAACCCCGGCCGCCGCGTAGGGTGGGCGAGCCCCTTCTTCGACACCGGCGCCTCGCCAGCGGACGCGGACGCCGCCGCTGCGGGTGGCGCTAGCGCGGTCTCCGACACGAACAGCTTCTGCTCGACCTCCTTGGCCGACGGCGCCCTGTAGACGACGGCCGGCTGGTGCCCGGGTTGCTGGTACTTCGGAGGAGGCCCTGGCGGCCGCGGCGTCATCCCCGGCAGCGACCACACGGAGCCAGCAGCGGGACGGTACGGCGGGGCTCCAACGCCGCCGCCGCCTCCCCCACCGCTGGGGTCGCCGCGGCCACCGCCTCCGTCGCAGTAGGCCGCCATGGCATAGGGGTGGAGGAAGGCAAGAACGAGAGGGGAGGGTGGTGACGAGGCTAGAATTGAAAGGGAGGAGGGAAGGGTGGTGGAGTGGGTGATGTGATCCTATGGGAATGCAAGGGAAGGGAGGGGAGGGGGGGTGATGCAAGTGAGAGGTGAGGCGATGAGAAAACCCTAAACCGGTGGAAGGATCGAGAAGGCCAGGAGGGGGTGGTGATCTTACCGCTCGGTGACTGTATGCTCGTCTGTACGGAAGAGTGATTAAGCTAATCAAACTTGCTACTCAAGTCTAGGTTTTGACAATGTAAATTAATGTCCCCTTTTTTTTTTTACTCTCCCTGTCCTGTTTTTACCATGTACTGTACTCCAGTATGGTGCCACGTGCCAGACACAGGCAAAATGGAGGTCGATCGAAGGCAACCATAACCCTGGGGAAAATGAAACGAGGCGAGGTCTACAGTCTACACGAGGCAAAATGGAGGTCGATCGAAGGCAACCATTTCCCATGTTGCTTTTGGCATGCAAATATCTGCTCCCTCCAACCTCGATCGCATTCGAGAAGGACCAAACCGTACCGTATAGAGACGTTGCACAAAAGCAGCAGATGAGCAGAACACCCACTTCCGCCTGACACCGTCGCTCGCTTCCCCTCGGCCCACCTCACAAAAGCACACAATCCCGCACCTCTCTCTCTCTCTGTGCAAAGCAAGCCAAAACGAAAAGAAGAGTCTGATGCACAAGAATGACCAATACATGCATGCACGCATCATGCGCATGTTTAATGTTTATGCACTCGCTATAGCTAATGAGGTGTTTAGAAGACATGGACTAAATTCCACTAATTTAAAGTATTAAAACATAAACTAATAATAAAACTAATTGCATAAATAAGAACTAATTTGCGAGACGAATTTTTTAAGCCTAATTAATTCATAATTATCAAAAGTTTATAGTAAAAGTTTTGCTAATTATGTATTAATTAGGCTTAAAAATTCGTCTCGCAAATTAGCTCTCATCTATGCAATTAGTTTAATTATTAATCTATGTTTAATACTCCAAATTAGCGTCTAAACATCCAATGAGACTGGACTAAAACATCTAAACACCCCTAAACTAATGATCATATGGCGCGTTTGAGGTTTGGATTCCTGGATTACACTAGTAGTCGCTTCTCTGCAAATAGATTCGCCAAGATCGTTTCAGCTGAAAGAGTCGGCGAGGTGCAGCGAGACAGAAGCAGGCACACGACACGACCGCCCGGTCTATCGCTCGCAGTGCCGTTCCGGTGAAAGGCGCAGCGCGCAGCCGCGTTGCCAACATGCTTCCATGCATGCGTCCAAACGGGTCCACCCAGCCCAGACGTCATGCATGAATGCCCAAAAGGAAAAGGAAAAGGTGACCGGCCGATCGGATGAGAGGGTGGCGTACGTATGCACCTATGCTGCACGATTTTAATTGTTCCCATGCGCTACACCTGCATCTCTCCGATTCCGAACCAGGGTTCTTTGACTTCTTTCCCCTGAGTTCCCAACTCATATCCTTCGTTTTTCACGTACACGTTTTTCAAACTGTTAAATTGTATGTGTTTTACAAAAAATTTATATAGAAAAGTACTTTAAAAAAATCATATTAATCTATTTTTTAATTTTTTATAGCTGATACTTAATTATCACATGGTAATCTATCGCTCCATTTTCCGTGTGGAGAGGAATGGTTTCCAACCTTGCTCCATTTTCCGTGCGGAGGGGAGGGCATTCCCAACCCCTCGGAAAGAACACAACTTTAATCTTTTACTATTTTTTATAAGACAAAATTGGTTCTGGAGCATTGAAAGTTGTCCATTTTGATTTTATAGCATCCAAAGTTCACATCTCATTTTGATAGCATCAGAAGTTACATCCGTTGCTTCTTTTTAGCATTCCGTCCAAACTTCCGTTAGTTTTATTTTCTAATTAGTATTATTCTTCAACAAAAAACTAAATCAAACCCCAATGGTGGCCCTCTTCCTCTTGCTTGTCACCTCCAAACAGCAGTCGTACAGGAGCTCAGAGCGGTCAGTCATGGTGCGAACACAGGATCGATGCTGGCTCCACAAGCTCGTCATGTAATACGTACGTGAGCCCAGCCTCACAAGCTGATCATCCGCAAGCCACTGTATTCGTCCGCGCTTGCTAGGTGTGATCTATCCACTTTCTAGGCTCTAGCTTTGCCCGGACAGCGCCATCGTCGATCGATCTCATCTGCCATTCCGCCATGCTAGAGCTTGTTCAAATGCGGCTGTGCCGCTTCCGAGTTCGTCCGCGCGCACTGCTCTCGGTCTCTCCCCTAGATGCGTCATCCGATCCATGAATGCCCGAAGCGAAGCAACGTCCTCCAGATTATTGTCGGCACCCTTGAGCTCGCTCCGACATGCTGCTCTTGAGCTCATCCATCGGCCCCCGAAGCACCACCCTCGCGCTCGTCGCGGGCTCGCCTGAGTACCGACCTGCTCCTCCTTACCCTGGATCCGTTGTCTGCTGACCCAAGTCAAGAGCCGCCGCCTCTAGCTTGCCAGAACCAGCCACCATCCAAGGCTCCAACTCGCTCAGCGCTATACTGTCGTGGTCGAGCTCACCTGCTGCCTTGAATCGAAGAGTGGTCAACCATAGGAGGGAGAGTGCAGGAGGAACAAGACAGATGTAGGATGGGGTGAGGAGACGAACTGCTGACGGAATGCTAAAAATAGTAACGGTTCCAGTTTTGAGTGCTATTAAAATGAACCATAAACTTTTAGTGCTATGTAACCAAAATCGAGTACTTTCGATGCCATAGAACCAATTTTGCCTTTTTATAATGGCATAATATCAACTAGCATGGTGGCCCGCGCAGATTGCGCGGCTAGCATCATTATATTTTGTCTCATATAATAGCATATATGTTTTCTCATTATATTATTCAAATATATTAAAATGACAACATAATTTTAAATTTTGCATTAACTTTACAAAACTACTAATATGTAATATTCATATTACATTTTATATACGTGTTAGTTATTAATTATTTTTAATATCAAATTTTATTTATTTGTAAATTATATATATTCCTATATGGACTCTAAACTCGTCTTTTAATATTTATTTTTTAAATTCCGAATTTTCTGTAAATTGTATTGCTATATAGACTCTATGTTCTTCTTCCAATATTATTTATTTTTATTTCTAAATTTTTATTATTTCTAATTGTATTTCTATGTGGATTCTAAACTCATCTTTCAATATTCTTTAATTTTTAATTTCGAATTTCAGCTACTTCTAAATTGTATTCCTATATTGACTTTAAACTCTTCTTCCCATGTTTTTCTTAATTTCGAATTTTAGTTATTTGTAAATTGTATTTTTATACGGACTCTAAACTCTACTTTTAATTTTATTATGTTTATTCCAAATTTTAGTTAGTTTTAAATTCCTATATGGACTCTATACTCTACTTCTAATATTCCTTATTTTTTAATTTCGAATTTCTATTTTTTTCTAATTGTATTTCTATATGGACTCTATACTCTACTTCTAATATTCCTTATTTTTAATTCCGAATTTCAGTTATTTCCTAATTGTATTTCTATATGGACTCTATACTCTACTTCTAATATTCTTTATTTTTAATTCCGAATTTCAGTTATTTCCTAATTGTATTTCTATATGGACTCTATACTCCTCTTATAATATTTATTTTTAGTTCCGAATTTCAGTTATTTCCTAATTGTATTTCTATATGGACTCTAGTCTCCACTTTTTTTAATTTTATTATGTTTATTCCAAATTTTAGTTAGTTTTAAATTTCTATATGACTCTATACTCTACTTCTAATATTTCTTATTTTTTAATTCCGAATTTCTATTTTTTTTCTTAATTGTATTTCTATATGAACTCTATACTCTATTTCTAATATTCCTTATTTTTAATTCCAAATTTCTATTTTTTCCTAATTGTATTTCTATATGGACTCTATACTCTACTTCTAATATTCTTTATTTTTAATTCCGAATTTCAGTTATTTTCTAATTGTATTTCTATATGGACTCTATACTCTACCTCTAATATTCCTTATTTTTAATTCCAATTTTCAGTTATTTCCTAATTGTATTTCTATATAGACTCTATACTCTACTTCTAATATTCCTTATTTTTAATTCCGAATTTCAGTTATTTCCTAATTGTATTTCTATATGGACTCTGGTCCCCCCTTCTAATATTCCTTATTTTTTAATTTCGAATTTCAGCTATTTCTAAATTGTATTTCTATATGGACTCTAGTCCCCTCTTCTAATATTCCTTATTTTTTAATTCCGAATTTCAGCTATTTCTAAATTGTATTTCTATATGGACTCTGCTTTTTCTTTTTATTTCTAAATTGTATTTCTATATGGACTCTGTTTTTTCTTTTTCTCCGATTAATTTGAGAATTTCTAGGCTATGAGAGCGAACGTGGAGGCTCATTTTTCTATTCCTTTAATTATATAATAGATAGATAGAAGATAGATTTCCTCAAGCATCTGGCATGCATGTATTTCTAGGAGTAAAAGGGCATCTTGTCGGATACAGCGTCGGCGGTCGATTTAACTCTGTTTAACGTCCAAGAAGAATGAGAATTTGCATGGAATAATGTACGAAACGCTATGCATTTTCACGTCAGATGGCATGAAGGAAACGATTTTGCTAAATCTTCGCCTGACAGATTTTTCGTTGGAAATCACTCGTTGTTTCAACCCTCCAATTCATAGTGAGATTCGTGCTAACAACATCCAAAAAAACTAACGCAGCTTACCACCAAACCTCGGGCGGTAGGATTCAATCTCACGATCAGATGCTTACCATGTGCAGCTCTTGGCTAATTGAGCATGAGGAGAATTTGACTGTATATATAAGACACTATTAACGTTGTAATATAAAATTGCATTTTATATAAAATTACAGTCATATATAACTAAAATTGTATTTGTAAATTCAGTTGATATGACATGTAAATGCACTATAATTTTGATAAAAAAATCTGTAAGTAATATATATTTGTTATTTTATTTAAAATATAAAATTGCAGTCATATATAATTAAAATTACATTTATAAATTCAGTTATATAACATGTAAGTGCACTGTAATTTTGATAAAAATAATGTGCAAGTAAATATGTATTTGTTATTTTCTTTAAAATATAAAATTACAGTTCAATATAACTAATATTACATTTGTAAATTTAATTGATATGGCATGTAAGTGCACTGTAATTTTGATAAAAAATAATATGTAAGTAAATATGTATTTGTTATTTTTTTTAGTCCGTTGAATGCAAATATAATAATAGAAAAAAATCTTAGTGATTTGTGTTGTTAAAAATCACCTGACAAATGGATAGACAATTCCGATAAGGAAACACACGATTCATGCCGGGTGAGCCTAGCGGGTGGAAAACAATGAGAAAGCCCACGTGTGCCTATAACGTGTGGATTCAGAGCAGGTACAATAGCAGACTATTAGCCAAAGCCCACGTGTGGCTATAACGTGTGGATTTAGAGCGGGTACAATAGCAGACTATTAGCCAGCTATAAACATATTTTAATGAGATAAAAGATGAGAGAGAAAAACAGTGGACTACAAATTTATAGCCAGCTGCAGCACGGACTTAAAGACGCAATGTGTGTATAACAGGTGAGATCATATATTAATAATATAGTAAGCAACTATTGTATAAATTAGCTATTATATCGGGTATAGATGAATTGGAGATAGTAGTGGGCTCTACTATTAAACTTGCTCTTAGCCTACCCAGAGTTGCAGTCTACGTTCCTCGATCCAAAACAAGTTTATATTGACCCATGTGATATTCCTCTCATCACTCAGCCCATAGGTGCATCAGTACCGTATTTATAGGCCTGCATTAGGCTTGTTTGAGTTTGGGTCAACTCGTTTTTTAGCTCAGGAGATTTGTATTTGAAAACTTTATACGTATAGGGTTCGTTCGTTTTAGAGGAATTGTAAAGGAAAAGTATAGGCATATACAGCTTTTAGGAATGGACACTAAATTGTCATTCTTTTCAGAGAAACGTCCCGTTGTCTTCCGGCTAGCTTCACAAGATGGTGGACTAGCCGGTCTAAATTCAAAGCCTCACTTCTATATTTGATATTAGGTACTTCCCTAATATCTACGTTTTTTTAATTGTCATTCGTTTCAAAGAAATCAAAGGAAAATTTCATATCCCTCCACTCCAATCTAATGTTTTTAATCCTTTGATCGTTTAGTACGCAACTGTAGAAAAGTTTCATATGGTTATTAATCCTTAAGTTTACACATGTATTCCCATTCTATTTCTATGTTTTCCCTATTACTATGTTTTAAAAATATTGCAAACCAAACGAGACCCTAAACTTTGAAATACATAGAGTCATAGATAGCATGTGCGTATGAACTGTACATGTATAAACCCTGTATGCATAAACTTTGCACATATAAATTCGAGAATAAATTTTAAATACAATTTCAAAAACAACCGAAAACGTATATGTGACCCGCGAGGCCCATGTGCATGGCTTCTCCTCTTTCTTGTATTTGGGCTGCTAAAAAAAGATGGGCTTAACCCAAAATAGAAGCAACCGTGGGCCAAAAAAAGAAACAGCAACCGTGGGCTTTCATTAGCTTTCTCGGTACAAACGAGCCGTCGCGTCGTTTCCTTCCGTGTCAACGCGAAGGGAGCACCGAGCACGAGCGATCTGTTTGGTCTCTGTAGGGTCAGAAAAACTCCCTTCCGGTTTTCAAAAAAAAAAAAAAAAGAGAGAAAAACTCCCTTCCACAGTTCCACTGAAAAATCGTGTGTCTTTTTATCGTTATCTGTCACGGCATAGGTAAATTCGCTCTAATTCCCCCACCTTTTCGCCGCAAAAAATTCCCTTCCACGATTTCCACGGGTAGTGGCCGCGCACGTAGAATCATAACCCCCACCCACGCACACAACCCAACTAGTATTACTACACCTTTTGCGCCCCCCCTAATCCCGGGCCCACCAAGCTTAATCAAAACGGATCGTAACAGCCGCTGTTTCAATCTCACCGAGCCTTTCGCTTCCAAGGACACACACATACATAAACAGTTTGTTTATCCAACCACGACGTGGAAAGCTCACCAATCTAATGCCAAATTAATCGAGTACGACACAAATTCAATTGTTATTTGATTAGTTTATTAAAATTTAGTTTGATCCGGTTCGCGTCAAATTCCAACCTGGCTCGACTCGCTTCCAACCAGACGCCACTGCCTTTCCCCTTCCGAGCAGCAGCGGCCGCTTCGCTTCGCTTCGTTTGCTTCGTTCGCCGGCGGCAGCGGCGGTGGCGGCGGCGGCGGTGAGGGTGGGGTTGGGGATTGGGGGATCGAACCTCGCTGGATATATAGATGCCTCCATGGATCCAATCGGCGACCCATCGCCGTCGTCCCGGCGGTCGGTGAAGCGGCGGCCTCCCGCGCGATCGCCGGAGCTGTCGCCGAAGGCGTGGGGAGGGGAGGCGCCGGAGCTGATCCGGCGGCTGGAGGAGCTGGAGGAGGCGGCGGCGCGGCTGCGGGGCGAGAAGGAGGCCGCGGAGGAGGCGGCGCGGGAGCTGCAGGCCGAGTTGGATGCGGAGCGGGCGTCGGCGGAGACGGCGACCAGCGAGGCCATGCTCATGATCGAGCGGCTGCAGCGGGAGAAGGCGGCCGCGCAGATGGAGGCCCGCCAGTTCCGGCGGTACGCCGAGGGCCGCGAGGATCGCGAGCGTGAGGTACAGGAAGAGCTCGCCTCGCTCTCCGACCTCGCCGCCTCCTACCACTCCCGCCTCCAGTCCCACGGGATCGACCCTGATTCCTTCTCCGACGACGGCGAGGAGGAGCAGCACGACGAGGAAGATGGCGAAGAGGTAGAACAGATCGACACGGCCGCGCTACAGACAGATGGAAGCAGCGGCGGCGACTCAATCGGTGGCATGCAGGTGAAAGCCATGGTCGACGATGATGAGGAAGAGCAATTCACCCCTGTGGAGAAGGAGTTCGAGTACACGGTGGATGTGAGGTGCGCGAGCTCGACGACGAAGGTATCCGGGGCGGTGGTTGTTGGGGAGTTCATGGGGGAGGGCAATGCAGCTGCAGGGGGATTGTACGCCAGGGTGGAGGCTCTGGAGGCGGACAGGGCGGCAATGCGGAGGGAAATCGCAGCATTGCGAGCAGAGAGAGCTCAGCTGGTGATGGCGAGGGCGATGGCGCGGCGGCTGTGCCGGGAGGTGGTTGCTGAACAGAAAGCCAAGAAAGTGGCTGCCTCACCACGAAGCTTCTCGGTGCTAGGGGTTTGCAAGGTATAATTAAGTTTGCTCACATTGGTCACTGTTAGTAAGTTGTTCACATTTGACACATTTATGCTAAATTTAGAGAGTAGCACATCCAGAGAACTTGTAGTTTCATTAGTTTAGATTGATGAATTTAGTTGGAGCATTTCTACTACTGCCTAAAACCAAATGAAATGTCACCAAATCAATGACGGTTGGGATATAAAATTGCATTCTTACATTTGTAAGACAATTGCTTGTGGTAGCTGTAGATGAAATCAACCTATATGGTGGGTAGAATAACTGCATTGTTATAGATTAAAGCAGTAACACAACAATTTGTAGTTGGTACTTTTGGTACAACAATGGAAATTTAAGTTGTGGTTATCAAAGTTTTTCCTTATGTTGTACACTTGAGTTGAGTAGATCTAATTGTCAGTCATTTTAGTCCTTTGGCATATCTAGATTTACTGTCGCTGGACTCATTTGTAGACTTGCTTATGTGCTATATGTGGTCAACTGCTAAAAACTTGAGCCCCAGTTTTGTATGGGAGTTATGACCACAGTAACATGTGTTGCATGCTACCTCAATTCCATATCTGGAATTCTATAATGTGTGCTTGCCAACATGTGAAGTTGTAATTGGAAGGAAATCTATAAAATATTTCAGATTGTTTCTTTCCAACGTAACGTGCAGTTAATAATTGATCCTTTTCGATTTGTCTAAAGTTCTCTCTCTCTGTGTTCCATACCAATAGCATTGGCTATGTTTATCTATCAGAAACTAACAGTCTTGTATCTCTTTGCCGCAGTGGGTGCTCTCGATAATCTTTTGGAGAAACAGAAGTTCCACAGCCAGGTAGATTTGATATGATGGCTTGGTTATGAATATATCATTATCCTTTTTGTTCTGAATCGAGACCAAATCTGTTCCCATGGATATTTCGCAGGTATACCTTCGGTCTGTCAACTACGTTCCTTGGCTTCCTACTGCTGCTCGACAGATCCACCATGTTGAGTCCCTGGCGTCGTCTGCCTAGCCCACGGCAATGAAACGACCTTCCCGGGCATATTGTCTATAAATCAGAACCTGGAATCATTGTTTACAGCTTCATTGTAAGTGTGTGTATTGCATTCTTTGACATGTTCTTCCTCTTCTTTTTTTTTTCTTTTTTGCCCAAGCACAGTTTTTGAGCTGTATGTTTTTATTTGGAAGCTTTGAGCTTGTCTTATAGTGTGTTTATTCAAACCTAGGCGTGAATAGCTTGTAATCAGGAGCTAACTGACATGCTCTGTGTAGAGTGTACATCATAGTAAGCTATGGAATCTGATCTTGTTTGCGCGGTTGCCGAAATGCTGGAGTGTTGCATCTGGTTTGCACGTCTGCTCTGTCTAAATGGTGTGTATTTTGAATGGCAACTTCTACCTGTGAGTCTGAATACAGTGGCATATGCTTTGGAGAAAATCCCCTGTGTACCCTTGAAAGTTCACCTAATCCCTTCTATACCCCTGAATTTTGCTCAATCCCTTACATACCCCTGAATTTTAGTTTGGATCCCTTCTATGCCCTTTCCGCTAGTTGACCGTTAGTTGACCGTTAAATTCTTATAAAAAAGTCCATTTTGCCCTTTGGTATAAAGAAGCATATAAATTAATAGAGTATATTGTTGGAGCATAGAAATTTGTTATATGAGACTATTATGTTTATGAGATAGTTATGCACCATATTATTTGCGATAAATATACTTTTAGATATGACATAAAAAATTAATACTTATTTATTAGTTATTAAAAAAAATTTTAGCTTATGTGTTCTGAAGTAATAAACAAATATGTTGTATTACTATGAAAACACATATGCTACATAAAAGAACTTTTAATAACTAATAAATAAGTATCAACTTTTTATATCATATGTAAAAGTAAATTTGTCACAAATAATATGGTGCATCACATACTCATAAATATAATAGTCTCATCCAATAAATTTTTACATTCCAACAATATACTTCATTAATTTATTATGTTTCTTCATAGCAAAGGGCAAAATGGACTTTTTCAAAAGAATTTAACGGTCAACTAACGGTCAACTAGCGGAAAGGGTATGGAAGGGATCCAAACTAAAATTCAGGGGTATGTAAGGGATTGAGCAAAATTCAGGGGTATAGAAGGAATTAGATGAACTTTCATGGGTACATAGGGGATTTTCTCTATGCTTTGTGATTGTGTGATATGATCAATGCACTCAGAATAGGAATGTTGCTGAACTGCAGACTGCACTTCTTATGTTTCGTTTGTCATTGTTTTCCCTCGTAGCTGCTCCATTGTTATCCTGAAATAGCCTGTCAAATTTGCACCGAAATTCACAGCCAGGCCTATTTCTCAAATGATAACATTTCTACAAAAAAAAAATTCAGTTTCAGTTTTGTTTGGTCATGATGAACGCATTACTATCAGCAATGTGCAACTGGATTGAATACTTCCGAAATCTGCTTCAAGAAGTCAAAACATATATAAATGCCAGGGAGGAAGACAACGATGCTTACAGCCGGTGCCAAAGCTTGTAATCAATATTTTTTCAAGATTTCCTCGTAGGGCCGGCAACGCCATTCACTGGTGTGATCTCAAATAGCCATGAGCATTTGGGAGCAGGTCAAACAAAATGAGTCTGTTTCATAAAGCGGAAAAAAAAAAGAACACTGTATTTTACTTGTTTGCCACTGAAAATTTCGCAGGGCCCCACATGTCAGTTAGACAGCAGGCGGTGAATGATAAATTGGTAAATGTTAGGGGCATATATGAAATTTATTATACACTGTCTACATACTATGGTTGTGTTTAGATTTTTTGGCGTGTCACATCGGATATACGGATACACATTTGAAGTATTAAACGTAGACTAAAAATAAAACAAATTAGAGATTTCGCCTGTAAATTGTGAGACGAATTTATTAAGCCTAATTAATATGTCATTAACAAATATTTATTGTAGCACCACATTGTCAAATCATGGAGCAATTAGGCTCAAAATATCCGTCTCGCAATTTACACGCAATATGTGTAACTAGTTATTTTTTTCGTTTATATTTAATACTCCATGCATGTGTACAAACATTTTATATGACAGGGTAAAAAATTTTGTCAGGGATCTAAACAGCCCTATATATGAACTTGTATCAGGAAGCTCCCATGCATGGTAACAGAAATTTACAAGTGCTCTACTGCTTATACAGAATGATGAAAATTTACAAAGCTTTGTACCACCATGCAAACCGCTGTGCGTGCAAAATTTCAATTTCGCTTGCAAAATTTTGCACGAACAGCACGGATAATTAACTGGCTTACACTCTCCCTTCAGTTTAATCTGCTGTGAGCTGTGCACTATACAATTATACCATCGTACATTCTAGATGAATTCTACGTGAACTCACGGTTTGATTTAGAACAAGGGGCTGAGCTCCTGGATGGACTGCATGGTGTTCGGGGAGAAGACGAAGCCCGGCGACAGCAGCATGCCGGCGGCCATCATCGGCGACGGCACCGCCGGAGGCTGCGCCGGCGCCGACGCCGCGGCCTGGCGCTGGCCGAGGGTGAGGAGCAGCGGGTCGCCGCCGGCGCCGCATGCTGCCGCCGCGCCCTGCTCGACCATCGCCGGCGCGTCGTACGCCGGCATCATCACCGGCGGCGCCGCCGGTGGCTTGCCCGTCAGCCGCTGCACGACGGTCATGAACTCCTGCGGCCGCGCGTGCACCACCTTGGGCGTGTGCTCGTACACGATCACCGGCGCCGCCGCCGACTTCTTGGATGCCCCCTTTGACGCCGACGACGACGGCGACGACCCCCTCGACGACGACGACGACACCTTCAGCGGCAGCGGCCTCGGCCCTCGCAGCCCACCTCTCCTCGACGACGACGACGACGGCATGGCCACTGTCATGGTCATGGCAGCTACCTAGCTCTCCTTGCTCAACTCGCTACGAGTAAAGAGTAGCTTCTTGTAAAGTTGCAATGCTTTGACAACTATAATGGATTGCACTTTGCACAATGCTTTTATAGATAGAGAGTAGCAAACACTTTCACATGCTACTAGTAGCAAAGACATGGATATAGTAGCAATACAATGTCAAAAGTCGTCGGTCAAGTACGGCAGATTCATGACTGCTGACTTTTTTTTTCGATCGATTACGATTATTAGTTAGCTAGCGAAAAAGTCAGACGCGTTACACACTTCCATTTGGAAGGCAAGCCAAGGTAGGTTAGAAGTGGTTAGCGATAGTTTTCACTTATTGGCTTGATGATAACTAGTATTACTTTCGGCTGCAGCCCAACGTTGACCAAATCGGTATGGATTATCAGCTCGCGTCCACAGTTGATCAGTCAAGGCGTTCAAACGCCAAACCTACCTAGCTATACTTTACTACGATGTCAAACACTTTTGTCTGATGCGTAATGTGGTAATCTCAAGCTGTGGGGTTGCAAGTTTGCAGCGACAAGAATGAACTTTTCTCCATTGTTTGAACGGGACAAGAATGAACTTTTAATCGAGTGTTCAGATATAGCTCTGGTTTAATTTTATCTTCAATCTCTGACAGTTCTTCAGAAAGAACCCAAGCCGACCACAAGAATCCCTAGCTAAGACTCTGAATTCTCTGCACGTCCTTTGATTGATCGTTTACTTGGAAATTTAACCTAGAACCCCAATTGCAATCCCACTTGGGATATGAAGCTGAAAAAGGCGTCCTGTTGATCGATTTGGCTAGCTGCTTGTCCTAACTAACCACTCAATTTGACAAAATTCAAGGGCTTAATTACGTACGACTTCAATCCGAGCAGAATTCGACTATGGGACTGCATATATTTCCACGGCACAGTTGAGTCCACCGTCGACGTATCGTCTCTTAATTAATCGGGAGGTCGAGAAGATCATGACATCCGATATCCATATATATGTACCAGTAAGACCGTTTAAGTTTCTTAATTAGTGACATCATGTAACATGAATTTTGATGTTTCTTAATTAATTAACTGGAAGATCGAGAACACCATGTACTACTAGTACCATTTTACCAGGCCTGTTTGAAGTTGAAGGAGCAGGTCAACTGACGAGTAGAAATGCCTCTGTTCGTTTTCAGTCCTTGAGAAATTCAGACTTTCAGAGTAGGAAACGCATTGATTACGCGGCCAAATGAAATACGGCGCCCCTATAAACGAGGGATGCATACAGTAGTACAGTACTCGGGATCTGATTGCACCGTCAAAATCAAAATCAAAGCAGTTGAATTCTACTCGGGGTTAAAACTAAGTTGACGATTCACGGATTTGTTTAAGCAGGCATCGTGGTCGCCATGACGCATGAGCCTTTGACCCTGCAATGCAACCACCGTTTTGAACACAAGAATTTTGCGTGTCACTACGGTTTCTCGTGAAAGGCTTTGTGTACCGCGTAGGATTGCTACACTCGTCGGCTGTGAAGAAACATGCATGGTAGAGCAACACTACTCCTAGCATGTTTGTGGTAGAGCTCCAACTTCTAAATTTAGTTTCAGGAGTTGAGTCTAGAGTGGAGTTGCGGAACTGTCTAAAGTCTAAATTCAGCTTCAACTCTTTAGTTTATTTTGTAAGAGCACTCTACCTAACTCCGCTCTTATTTTAGGTAGAGATGAAACTGTTTGGCTGAGCTTCAGTTACAGAAGAGGTGGAGCTGGAGCTCCTGTGCCAATTGCCAAACAGGCCCAATAATCTCATCCAGAATGTTAATGTAGAGAGTGGAGTTGTGAGTGCATGATTTTTGTTTGGAGGAGCTTTAGATTACGAGAAACATGGGTAGGAATTCAACTGGTGAGAATATGGAGAAGTTGTAAAAACCAATTTTTCTTTCCTAGTTTATTTTTTATTCTACAATCACAACTTCTCATAATCTGAAAAAAAAAAGTTTATGGAGCTTTGGATTCAAAGGAGAAAACGCAACCCAAAAGTTCCTCTAACAGAAAAGCCCATAAATATTGTGCACACACGATACTTCATAGGAATCTAGTGACATCAAGGTACTTCACTCTTCGGTTGTGTTAGGGGGGTGGAGTGGTGGACACAAACATATGTGTGCGCATATATTTTCTGCGTAATAAAAAAATCTAGTAATAAAGTTTGGGAGTACCTATGCATCTTTCGAAAGATTTTTATGATCATATCACACAGATTTTTAATCTTTAGATTAAAATCTAATGGGCACAGTAAAATGCAAAAAAGCAACTAAAAAACACCATAATGGACACTAAATTACCATATCTTCAAGAAAAAAACCAAATCTAATATATATTTCAAAACTTACATGCAAAGATTCAAAAATTACACTGTAACTTACAAAAGTTACACTGTAAATTTCATAAATTACACTATAATTTACAAGAAAACACACTGTAAATTTGAGTGAGAAAATCAAGTGAGAGATAAGAAGAAATCTTTCGAGTGAGATATAGCAAAATCGATAAAGTTTTGCATTGAAACCAAACAATCTCATGCTCCAATGGAAGGGAACTATGGAAGTCCTATGTAAATGGGCCAAAGCCCAAAGTAATACACAAAGGCATTCCAAATTCGGGCCTGCACAAGTAAACCGGGCGATCCAGACCGTCCGATTTGGCGCGCAGAAACCCGATCCGCATCCCGCGCCGTCGCCTCACCGCTATCCCTCATCACCCACTGACAAGTTGCCCCACACGGGAGGATGGCCCACACGTCAGTGATAGAGGGTCCGTTCCAGGGGGCCCACCTCATTTGGTCCCAGGAAGGTCCTTCCTCGCTCTCCTCTCTGTCTTCCTCCGATCCACCCAACCAACCAAGCGCCCGCCGGCCTCGTCGCGCGCCGCCCCTCCACCGCCCGTCTCCAATGCCACCGCCGCCGCAGCCGCAGCCGCCGCCGCCGTCGTCCGCGTAGGGTAGGGGCATCCCGCCGGCGATGGGCAACAACTGCGTCGGCCCCAGCGCCGCCGGCCAGAACGGGTTCTTCGCCAACGTCGCCCTCTGGCGACCCAGGCCCGCCGACGCGGCTCCCCCCGCCCTCCCGCCGCCCTCCTCCGCGCCGTCCGACCAGGCGCCCGAGCCCGTCACAATCCCCCCATCGGAGCACTCCTCCCACCACTCCTCCCGCTCCACCGACCCGTCGACCCCCACCTCCGCCGCGGAGCAGCCGGCGAACAAGGCGGCGCCCAAGGTCAAGCGCGTCCAGAGCGCCGGGCTGCTCGCCGATTCCGTCCTCAAGCGCGACGTCAACACCGCCCGCCTCAAGGATCTATACACGATCGGGAAGAAGCTAGGGCAGGGGCAGTTCGGCACCACCTACCTCTGCGTCGAGAAGGCCACAGGTCGGGAGTTCGCCTGCAAGTCCATCGCCAAGAGGAAGCTGCTCACGCAGGAGGACGTCGAGGACGTGCGCCGCGAGATCCAGATCATGCACCACCTCGCGGGCCACGCCAACGTCGTCTCCATCGTCGGGGCCTACGAGGACGCCGTCGCGGTGCAGCTCGTCATGGAGCTCTGCGCCGGCGGGGAGCTGTTCGACAGGATCATCCAGAGGGGGCATTACTCCGAGAAGGCCGCGGCGCAGCTCGCGCGGGTGATCGTCGGCGTCATCGAGGCGTGCCACTCCCTCGGCGTGATGCACAGGGATCTCAAGCCGGAGAATTTCCTCTTCATCCACCAGAAGGAGGATTCGCCTCTCAAGGCCATCGATTTCGGCCTCTCCATCTTCTTCAAGCCAGGTATGGCGCCCTCCCCCTTCTGGGACTCTTAACAATGCAATTTTCTGCAAAAATATATACTTTAGTTTCAGACTTTAATAATAATGTGAGCATTTGTGGTGACTGCAAAATGGGAGACTGTATATGTGATGATAGCATTAGCATTGGTGCTATGATTAATCTAATCAGAAGATTTTTTAAAAAATGTATTTATACTTTGAGATGGCTGTGGGGATTAGTTCCATTTCCATGGGTTAATCTTGTTGTGCACCTCATTGCACACATTTGTTATAGTCTCGATGCTAAGTCCTAAACAATCTGGTGCCAATTAGAGTATATCTTACTGATTGTTGACGTTGATTGTAGGTAGACCATGTCATTGTGGTTTGCTCATAAAAATTGCTCCAGAACTTAATTTTTTAGGTGCCAACTAATACTCATGAGCATATATACGTGAAGTTGAGAGCTTACACCTGGATATTTAAGTCAAATTTTCTCCACAGCTATATGTGAACTGGCGGATGTATGTACAAGCTGTGGGGACAGCTGACCTCACAGCTTTTTAAAAAATACCCCTGATTTTCATGTATAAATCCAAAAAAGTTAGAAAATTGACATCTCTTAAATACAAGCTATTAGTAATTGACCCCACAGGTTTATATTTCTAGCTCCGCTTACACAAACTCCTAGCTATATAAAATATGAAACAGAACCGTCTATATGTTGGCCCAAAATGACAGTCTTAAAGTAGCTATAGACAACCAAGCATGGGAGGTACTATGTGTTTGACATAATCCTGTATATGCCGCACATGTAATTATAAATACCATTCTTCATGTGTCATATTAATTGGAAAAAAAAATGCTTTGACAGGTGAGACATTTACGGATGTTGTTGGAAGCCCGTACTATGTTGCACCTGAGGTTCTTATGAAACATTATGGTCGTGAGGTTGACGTCTGGAGTGCTGGTGTGATAATCTACATTTTGTTGAGTGGGGTTCCTCCATTTTGGGATGGTGAGATCATATGTATTTTAGTGAAATATATTTTCCTTGTAATATTTGCAATACTAATGCAATTGATAAATTGGCTTCTGGAGCAGAAAGTGAGCAAGGGATATTTGAACAAGTTTTGAAAGGTGATCTGGACTTCTCATCTGAGCCTTGGCCTAATATCTCAGAGAGCGCAAAGGATTTGGTCAGAAAAATGCTTATTCGTGATCCAAAAAAGAGATTGACTGCCCATGAAGCCCTATGTGAGTAGTTTGGAAGTATGCAATGATTTGTAAATAATTTGTTGCTAGTCATCTAGTTTTACTTCCAACCAAATTTATCCAATTATTTTCTAGGTCATCCTTGGGTCTGTGTTGATGGAGTTGCTCCTGACAAGCCTCTTGATTCCGCTGTCTTGAGTCGGTTAAAACAATTTTCTGCAATGAACAAACTAAAGAAAATGGCGCTTAGGGTGAGCAGCATATTTTTCTAATTAGTAATATATAGGCTGCTTTCATGTTGATGTTTTAATATGAACTGGTATGTGACTGCAGGTTATTGCTGAGAGTTTATCAGAAGAAGAAATTGCAGGATTAAAAGAGATGTTCAAAATGCTAGACACTGACAACAGCGGTCATATTACACTGGAAGAACTAAAAACAGGCTTGCAGAGAGTTGGTGCTAATTTGATGGACTCGGAAATTGATGCTCTAATGGAGGCAGTAAGTATTCTAAGAAGGTTTCTGCGCATCTATTCATCATTTATACTGAAATTAGTAAACAAGATTTTGTTCTGATCTGTAATTGTATCTTGCAAACAAATTTCCATTTTATTAAGTTTTTTTAATCAATTTTTACAAGTACCCACCGGCTCCTTTTCTTGGTTGTAAAGTGTTGACCACGAAAGTACTGGCATACACTTCTTTTTTGAAACGTGAGCTTGCTTCATGTTGAATTTTTATCAGCATTTGTAATATATGGTAATTTTGTTGAGTGAAAATAGCTTGTAGTGAGGAGGATTAACTGTTTCCTAAATGCGGAACATTCTGGGAAGTTTGGATATCAGTGTCGCTTTACATTTATGATGAATATCCACTGGACTTTTGGATTGTTTCTCAAATGAAGCTCCTTTTCTTGAATATGTCAGGCAGATATTGACAACAGCGGAACAATTGATTATGGAGAATTCATTGCTGCAACTTTGCATATAAACAAAGTAGAGAAGGAGGATAAGCTGTTTGCAGCTTTCTCATACTTTGATAAAGATGGCAGCGGTTACATTACTCAAGATGAGCTTCAAAAGGCATGTGAGGAATTCGGTATAGGTGATACCCGTATTGAGGATATTATTGGAGACATTGATCAGGACAATGTGAGTAGAAAATGCTAAGTATTTCATGATAAATTGACAAACAACAATTTTGTCTCATTTGACTATCATTTGTGCAGGATGGACGGATCGACTACAATGAGTTTGTCGAAATGATGCAGAAGGGAAATAATGCAATGGGTAAAATGGGTCAGCATAGTACCGGAAACTTTGGCCTCGGGGAAGCGCTAAAACTTCGGTAAAAGGTAATTGTTGTTTTCTCTACCTTTTCTTTCCTATCCTTTGACAATATTAGATATTCTTTCAAAAGTGTATGATTTCGGTTGCCTTACTTGGAACCAGGATTATTTGTTTCAGTCTATAATCATTTATCTTATGATAAAAATTGGGCAACGAACTACTTATGACGGTAATTGTGAATTTAAAATAAGAATTTCCTCTATAGAGTACCATCTGCAGTAGCCCAAAACTTCAAATTTTGTGAAATAGGCCTGAAAACAAACTTTTGCGCTTCTTCTAAACTAAAACATTTGTAGTAGCTAGTAAAAAAAAAAACATTTGCAGTACTTATGTAATGCAGTTTAAAGTAACTCCTGATTTGGATCATGCATGCTCTGAATGAGAAAAATCACCACGATCTTCTGTTAGAACTTTGGTCATTCTCATCAGGGTAACTGATTGAACACGCTCATTAAGATAGTGTAAACTCACTGGTTGTTCTGGTTTCTTTATAGGTGCTGCTAAGTGAAGTTGCCATTTCAGACAATGGCTATAACCCAACATCAGAATATCACGATGTCAAACTACCATCGCACCGCAAGCTAAGTTTTGGATCTCTCAAGCAAAGCTACCACATGCCTGAGCATCAACATTTCCTAGGCTTCAATCTCACAGTTAACTGTCAATAGACCGAACAATGCAGCAATTTTTGACTTGCCTCCATTAAGTATGGAGTCCATCTTTGTAGCCCATCTTCATTGGCAAAATACGCTGTAGCTCATCTTCTTTGTATATGCATTTGTAAGTAGGGAAAGCACATGAGAGCAGGCAAGGTTCGTTTCTTGCTGCTCCTTTCCCAACCTGAAGTCTGAAGACCACAGCGACAGGAAGGCATCAGCGTTCCTGAGTAGAATTCCAGTTAATTTGTTACATTTTATTCTTCTTGTTTAATTGGTTAGCAGTTTTAGCTGTTGTCATGCGTGTAAGAATAGGCTTTGTACTATAGGTCTGACCAATGAAACGAATCTTCTCCGTTAATTTTGTCCGGTCTATTGGTGTATGTAAGAAGAATGGAAGAGACCAAATTAATTGATCTTGATGATGACGATTGTTTGAAGTTTCATGTTGCCGGCTGCGTCTTGTGCCGGCGGCGTGCCGGCCGTTTACTGTTGCTGCCACCGCCGCCGCCGGCTGGTGCTGAATTTTTCACGACATTGACAGGGAAGTTAAAAGCAACCAAGCATCCAAAAAGACTATTTGTGTGGTGAAACCGAGTGGTGGATTTGGTGGATGGTGCGTAGCGCTGATACCTTCTTACAGTTTTGTCTCGCTATTTTTTTTTAATGAATCGACGAGCGCCAATTTCATTGAATAGAGAATGAGAACTTTATAAAGCGAAAGGAAAAAAAATAGCTAGGACCTTTGGTCCGAGCTAACTAAAAAAAGCCAGCTATTAACACTTCTCGCCTCCTGCTAAGGCCCAAGTTTTGGCCTCTTCCTTGATCTTGGATAAAAGGGAGGTAGCTGAAAGCTCCTTCTGTTGGAAGGTTATGTGATTCCTTTCGTTACATATCTCGCTATTTTAAAGATAAATAAAGGCAATTGTGCAAAAGGAAGAAAAAACAAAATTATTTTTTAGGATCATATTTTATGTATGAAAAGTGAAAACTCAAAGGCTTTTTACCTTTACGTCAAAAAAAAATAAAATCAAGAGGCATCCTTTTCAGGATCATGTATCAAAACTCAAAAGATGTTTCCTGACCACTCAAAAGGGTCACCGATAAATGATTGTAGGAGTCAACTCAAAAGCATTGGTAAAATTAAAGCAGGAGTATTGATCCAATTCAATTTTCAAATGTTTTTAAAAAATGTGAAATAATGTAGGAGTACTAATCCATTTCGGTCTTCAAAAACAATAATCCAATTCAGTTGTTTTTCCAACAAATTTTAAAAATGTGAAATTATGTAGCAGTATTAATCCAATTCGGTCTTCAAAAACAATAATCCATTTCAGTTTTAAAAATGAAATAAATAATTCAGTCTTCAAAAACAGTAATCCAATTCAGTTTTTTTAAAATGAAATGAATAATTCGGTCTTCAAAAACAGTTATCCAATTCAAATAAATTATATTCGGTCTTAAATAGCAACCCAATTCAGTTTTTTAAAAAAATAAATAAATAAGGGCCCAACCGGGTTCGAACCGGTGACCTATTGATCTGCAGTCAATTGCTCTACCACTGAGCTATGGACCCTTTGTTGTGATTACAAAAGTACGTTCATTTATAACCAAATTTAATTCATATTCCTTGCGAATTCTACCCGCTACAGCCAATGAACAGCGTAAAGAAAGTGTTTTTTAAAAGGAGACAGCGTGAGATTGTGCTTTATCTTTCGTTAGATAGAGAGGAAAAAAATACACCCCTGGTAACGAAAAAAAAAAAGAAGGGAAAAGCCCGTCTTTACAGATTATACGCTCTTAGGAATTAACTGTGGTTTAGCTCCTCCTAGGGTTAAATTTTGGCTTCTTCCTTAATTTTTGCTAGGAGGGTGATTGTCATGCTCTCGTTGTGCTCAAAAATTCGTTGGTTCCACTTCTTCTGTATCTCCCAGACGACGAGAAGGATTAGGGAGCGCAATCCCTACTTTGGCACACATGTCATGTTTGTAAGGTTTTTCCACCAAGCTTGTACATTTTCTATAGCTTCCCACCAGGAGATAGAGGGTTGTTTCGTTTTCTTTACGTCAGAGAGGACAATGTATATTGTTTTGCCACCCTCTCGTCGTCAGGCAGTCCGAGGTTCAAGACCCTATTCTAGATGATTAGTCATGTATAGGACTTACATTCTCCCGGCGCTCAAGCTTTCCAAATCAATTGGATGAAGCATGTGTTTGTTGTACGAAGGCATTTGTGTCTGGTAGGCATAACATCGTAAAAATGAGTTCGCACTTTATAGTGATTTCAGCTTCCGTCGACAAATACGCACTACATTTAACCTTTTGTGATTAGAGGCACTAACCACAATTTATGACTATTGTCTGTAACTTTATATAAGTGTTGATGCAAAGTAGATGTATCACATAATTGTACTAACTGTACTAAGTCTTTGAAGTAGTAGATACGCTACTCCGTAAAAATAAAACACAAATATTGTTCTCGTCATAAATAACACTCACTCTCTCTATTCTCGAATAAATAAATCCAGTATAACATGTGACATGTAACACTAACTAAAAAAAGAGAGAGTATATTTTAATCAACAATTAGTAGTATGTCATAGATTAATCATGCTCACCACATTTACTCGTACCCAATCATGTTTTGGTAGTAGTATTTTTTAAGAGCTCTAGCCATCATCGTTTTCTTTTATCAAACTGAAGATGGGCATATTTTCTCTCTCAGTCCCATAAAAAATCAATATAATACTGGATTTGACATATTCTAATACTACGAATTTGGACGTACCTTTGTTCAGATACGTTGCATTACAATGTCATATCATTCATTTTTTTTGGACGGAAGAAGTACACAATATCACACATGTATCACTTGAATACTTTTCTTAACACACGCTTAAATGAAAGAAAAACAACAATGATATATTAATGATCTCACAATTCTCACTATTTTTTATTAATTTAAAATACAATTATAGACGTGGGCCACTTTGTGTACATGAACGGATCGAACCGGAAAAGTAAAACTTATCGCAAAGTTTTCCAACCACTCTGCTCATCAACCCCTGTTTGATCTTGAACGCCAATTCTTGGTCAGACGTTTGGACGACACCGTACTTTCTTTGAGACGAGACGATCAGCCATTGGAGGCCCATAGAGCAGGTACAATAGTAGGCTATAAGCCAGCTGTAAACATATTTTAAGGAGATAAATAAGGAGAGAGAAGAGCAGCGGGCTACAGATTTGTAGCCAGCTGTAGCATAGACTCTAAGACACAATATGTTTATGACATGTGGGACCAAATATTAATAGTGTAGTATGTAAATATTGTATGAATAAGCTATTAGATTGACTATAGATAAATTGGAGCTAGTAATTGACTATATTATTGAACTTGCTCTTACACACGCATTTATCGCACCCTTGACCGAAATGCGGGTCTAAAAATAATATCTCGGAACCCGAGGCGAGGGGAGGGGCCCCGAAATGCACGTCTCACTCGCAGGTGGGCCCCCGAAATCGCGAGTGGGGCCCACGCCGCAGTGGGACGTTTCGTGCGCACCCACTCCCCCTCCCCCTACGCGCGCCGGTCGATTTTAGCAACGCGCCAATGCCCCCACACCCCCGCAATAGCCTCACTAGATAAGGGGGACCCACCGCTCTCCGGCCCCACCCGTCATTGGCGTGAGGGGAAGGGAGAGAGCGGGAGGGGGGATTTTTATTTAGGATTTTCTTTTATCTGTATTTTTTTTTATTAAGAGAAAGCCTTCCCGACTCCGTCTCCTCCTCCCCTCGTCGTCGTCGTCGTCGTCGTCTCGCCTTCGCCGCCGAGGCGGAACAATTCCGCGGGGAGTTCGCTGATTAATCCGGCCGAATCCTGAAATTCCCCTTGAGCAATCGGGATAAGGTAGCCTCGCAATCCATCCGCCTTTCCTTTCTGGATAGTTTTTTTTGGTGTTTTTCTTTTGATTTATCCGTATCGTTTTGGTTGGATTGGGGACATGGGGGCGGGGCGATTTCGTGGTGTGTTTATGGTCATTTCGGTGGATTTCGTATCGTGGATGGGGGGATTATTGAGCAAGAGACTCCTGTTTCGATCGTTGATTGGCTTGGTTTGGCTTAATCCGTGGAATTTTTTGCTCATAGAATTCGTTTTTTCTTTGGTCATCAGGCGTAGGAATCTTGCGCGGGAAGGGCTAATCGAATCGGTTGGGCTGTACGGAGATGGATGAGAAGGTGAAGATGGAGAGCAAGCTGTCCTCCGCGGCGGCGTTCGTGGAGGGAGGTGTGCAGGACGCCTGCGACGACGCCTGCAGCATCTGCCTCGAGGCCTTCTGCGACAACGACCCCTCCACGGTCTGCATCCGCCGAGGCGAAAATTTTGGATTCGATATGATTGTGATCGAGTCGCTCATTTGTTTTCTTGGTGTGGATGTTGGCGTTTTCTCTTGCAGGTGACGAGTTGCAAGCATGAGTACCATCTGCAGTGCATTCTTGAATGGTAATGTTTCCTTTCTGGCCTATTGGAACGATATTGTTGTGTGGTATTTTTCTTTTTCTGTACTTCTTTGTGGAGCTGGTGATGCATTGCAATCGATATAGATGTAAATTACGGTAATTGAATCATGCATATTGCATAATTTATTCTAAATTTAAGGTTGCTCTTGTTTCCACAAAGCAAACTATCCGATATCACCATGACTAGTTTGCTTGTGTACCTCAGTTTTATATGATGCAATCCCTGATTGTTTGTTTTGTTTCTGTATCTTCTTTTCCACCTAGATAAAGTAAAATAAACGGCCGTGCTTTTAGCTGCAAGGTGATAAAGGAAGTTAGTGTTTGTCTGGCAATTGTGACTACACATCGATGGTTCAATTTAACTGTGCTGTGGGAACTACATCTAATTTGCTAGGGTTGCAAAAAATATTTGTTTTTAAGGTGATGGTGATTATCTGCTTACACTATTTGAATCTATGCTTGTTGTCGTGCTGAAATGCTGTCAGTAAAGTGGAACTACCACATGATTTATAAGACGAAAATGGGATCTTACATTCCAGAAACAGATCATGTGTTAGGCATCGCAATGCTCTTCAACCATGATCGACTTGTATATGAAGGTTAATGATGATCACCTGCACTTTAAGCAGTGAATAACCATACAGAAATTCTCCAGCATATGAGACTCAATAAGCCATTAAGGAGCATATGATCCACAGACTTTCATTATTTCAGCAATACCAGCCTCCATCAGGTGGGGCAGGGGTTGTAAGGCTTCTGAGCTGCCCAGCTGGAAGATTTCCTTCATCTGTGCAAGCAGTCTAGAACGATAGCTTTGTCGTAGTAGTTGTGAGCGTGCAGTTCTTCTGCAGTATGCTCATAAAACTATCGTTGCCCTTCTGGTGTCTATTATGGACTGATGGGGACATATTCTAAATATTTATTCTATACGAGCTTGCAGATACTAGAGATGTACAAAAAAATAATTTATGTGCGATCAATCTGAAATGGAGGATATAATATATTCTCATGCTTTCTTTTTATGAATACGAACGATTTTGAGGGTGAGCTCATGTGATCAAGGATAATGCTGTATATAAAGTCAATATCCAATCGATATGTAGTGAAAATTTGTCAAAATACTGTACTGTCCTCGACAATATTAATTTTTGATGTGTGCTTCTCACTGTTTGATATCTAGGTGCCAGAGAAGCTCTCAGTGTCCCATGTGTTGGCAGCCTATCAGCATGAAGGATCCTATGAGGTAGAACTTGCATCCTGTGTATCTCCCTAGTGAACCAATTTAGTGGTTCTCATTTTATATTTGAACTGTGCAGCCAAGAACTACTTGAGGCTGTTGAGCAAGAGAGGAACATTCGAGCTAACCGTTTGAACACTGCCGCTGTTTTTCACCATCCAGTATTGGGTGATTTTGAGGTGCAGCACGTTTTATTGCTATCATTTGGATATTTGCGATGATTCCTCTTTGCACCCTGGAGGTAGGCTTAATTCATACAACTATATTGATGTACCGTTTTCTGATTTCAGGTCCCTGTAGGAGCTGATGATGCTGAACTTGAGGAGCGCATTATACAACACTTGGCTGCTGCTGCTGCAATGCGTAGGTCACACAGACATGGTAGAAGAGATGGACATCGTAGCCGATCTGGATCTCATAGCCGCCCACAAATCGTGGTGTTTTCAAGGAATGAGGCTATTCCTGGTGGCTCCCTGCATGCAAGTTCAGGCCAAGATGAAGACCATGAACAATCTTCTGACTTAGGTTCTGCTCATCCTTTTGCTGCTCTTGCTGCTGTAGACCAAGGACATATGAGTGGTGGTTCGCAGCTATACGTGGGTCATTCTGACCAGGGTGCTTCAAATCCATCTCTGCATGATGAGAGAGCAATGAGCAGGTATTTCCTACAACTTACGGTATATATTTGCATGCTATTCCTATCCAAATTCAAGAGGTTTACTCTCTTTGTATCTTGATGTTAATCAGGACATCTGAAAATCAATCTGCACCTGTCAATCAAGATACAGCAGGACCATCTGATTTGCAGTCATTCTCTGACACGCTGAGATCTCGCCTACAGTCAGCTTCGATGAAGTAATATCTCAAACTCCTGAAAATGCCTTACACATTGAACGTATGCATCAGTGTCTTACTTGTGGGCATTCTTTACAATGCCAGGTATAAAGATTCTATAACAAAGAGTACGCGTGGATGGAAGGAAAGATGGTTTTCTCGGAGTAACACTATATCAGGTCTTGGCACTGAAGTAAGGAGGGAGGTCAACGCTGGGATTGCTGCGGTATCTCGCATGATGGAACGGCTAGAAACAAAGGACGATACTGGACCATCTGCTGTTCCTGCAGCTAGTGCTTGCTCTCCTTCAGACGCAAATAATCAAAGGACGGTATCCCCCAACCATGCTGCTGTTGTAAATGAAACTTCTTCCACGACTTGTGCGTCAGGATCTGGCTCTCAATGAGCCCACTCCATGTTCGTTGAAGAATTGGATACACTGTGAAGACAGGTATATATGCTCTTCTTGTGCACGAGAAAGCTTTAAAATTTTTAAGGTTTTGGGGTGGCAAAATGTCACAAGAAACATTTTCCTTTAGTAGTTTCTGAAACCGCTGTCAAATTCACTTGGATCAGGTCCAGAGAGAAACGCCGTTTGTTCGGAGCCACCTGAGATCCAGCGATGCTTCATGATCTTTGGTAGGTCTGTGTGCTTCAGGAAGTTCGCTGAAGCATTTGCATCCAGATCGCGGGACATAAGACTTGTGCTTGCGGATGAACCTTTACATTTTTTTACCTTGTGTAATATATATGCAAGGTTGTTATGAAATCATAATCGCTGTAAATTGCAACATAAAGAATGTCGGTTGTGAAATTCTTGTTGATATCCCTATAAATGTAGTGCACCAAGGGCGTCATGAGTCATCAGTTCGTCGCTTGACTTGTGAGTACTCAATCTTCACACTCATAATCTCACCCTTAGTTTATCTGATACAACTTTGCTGGGGTAATTTCTGATATCAGAAAACTTTCAGTTATTTGCTCCACTCTTCAAAAAATACATTTTCTCAAAATTCCATTTCTACTGTATTGTTTAGACTAATTGTTCTAAGATATTTGTTAAGTTTGTTTTTAAAATACTAAATTTATTCTCAGAATTTAGTAGATACTCCATCCCATAATACAAGGGATTTTGGATGGATGTGACACATCCTAATATAATGAATCTGAACAGGTCGTCTGTTCAGATTTATTGTACTAGGATGTGTTATATCCACTCAAAATTCCTTATATCATGGGACGGAGGGATTAATCCTTAACAATAGTGAGCTCAATATTCTAAGCACATAAGCTGTCCTGCAAGCTAAACATTGGGCTGCATATGAGGCCCACATTCTTGGGCTGGAGCCAGCTATGCATGCCTCTCTCAGGGCCTTGCTAGAGTCGGCCCACGGTTTTCTGCAGGAAACCAAACAACGCGTCGTCTTCTTCCTGCGGGAAACTAGGCGCCCCCAGTGTGAGTCGAGTCGGTGCTGTGCTGGAGTGCTGGCAACGCAGGCATGGCGGGGGCCAAAACGAAACCGGCGGCGTTCCCGCGATCCCTGCGGCGAGGCCTTGCCTTTCCTCGCTTACGGCGTGCCGACCTTGTGTGCGCACTGCGCGGCGGCGCGGGCGCACGACGCTGGCACGACAACCCCACCTCCACTACTCCATTTACTTTGCTACTCCCTTCTCCTTCCCCGAGTCCATCGCCGGAGTAGTAGTGCCGCAGAAGGATCCCTCGCCGACGAGGGCGCGGTAGCAGCAGCACAAGCAATTCGCGCAGGAGAGAAGTGGCCGCAGGCCGCAGCGATGGGCGCGCCGGTTTGTGGCGCACTCGTGTGCTTCTTCGTTCTCCTCGTTGCCCGTGCGGCCGCGGAGACGGCGCCGGTGGAACGTCCCACATTGCCCTCAGCCGACGTCGCCATCGACGGTAATGGCAACGGCGCTCGTGCTGGTGCGGGCAAAGCTGCCGGCGCCGGCGCCGTGGGAGGAGGGATCGTGTCAAACTCGGTGCTGGTGGCGTTGCTGGACTCGCGCTACACGGAGATGGCGGAGCTGGTGGAGAAGGCCCTGCTGCTCCAGGCGCTGGAGGACGCCGTCGCCGAGCACAACGTCACCATCCTCGCGCCGCGGAACGAGGCGCTGGAGCGGGACATCGACCCGGAGTTCAAGCGCTTCCTGCTCGAGCCGCGGAATCTCAACTCGCTCCAGTCGCTGCTCCTCTTCCACGTCCTCCCCGCCCGCCTCCCCTCCGGTTCCTGGCCCGCCGCGGCCACCCACCCGACGCTCGCCGGCGAGGATGTTGAGCTCGCCGCGGCCGACGGCGGCGGCGGCATGCGCGTCGCCCACGCCGCCGTCTCGCGCCCGGACGCGGTGGTCAGGACGGATGGCGTCATCCACGGGATCGACCGCCTCCTCGTGCCGCGCTCCGTCCAGGACGAATTCAACCGCCGCCGCAGCCTCGCCGACATCTCCGCCATGCCGCCGACGGCCGCGCCCGAGGTGGATCCGAGGACGGATCGCCTCAAGAAGCCGGCGCCACCCGGCGATTCTCCTGTGCTCCCGATCTCCGACGCGACTGTTCCCGATCCCTCCGTCGCGCTGGCGTCGGAGCCCAGTGACCACTACGACGGCGACAGCCAGGTGAAGGACTTCATTCAGACCCTGCTCAAGTACGGCGGCTACAACGAGCTCGCCGACATCTTCGTCAACCTCACCTCGCTCGCCACCGAGTTAGCCCAGCTCGTCTCCGAAGGGTACGCGCTCACCGTGCTCGCGCCCAACGACGAGGCCATGGCGCGGCTCACCGCCGACCAGCTCAGCGAGCCCGGCTCGCCGGAGAACATCCTGTACTACCACATGATCCCGGAGTACCAGACCGAGGAGAGCATGTACAACGCGGTGCGGCGGTTCGGCAAGGTGCGCTACGACACGCTGCGGCTGCCGCACAAGGTGGTGGCGCGCGAGGCCGACGGCTCAGTCAAGTTTGGCCATGGCGAGGGCTCGGCGTATCTCTTCGACCCGGACATCTTCGCCGACGGCAGGATCTCAGTGCAGGGCATTGACGCCGTGCTGTTCCCGCCGGCTGAGACGAAGACGAAGACGAAGCCGGCCACCGCCCGGATCAGGACGGCGCCCGCTATCACCGGCGTCAGCAAGATTAAACACCGGAGAGGTCAGCCAATGTCTTTAGATCTGAACTTGAATTTCCTAATCGTACAAAAATTTCCTCAGAAATTTACAGTTCACATCCTAGATTCGGGAGGTTAGTCGATGTTTTTTTGTTCTTTCTGAAATTGTTTAAGTCCATGCATGTTGATGCTACGAATAGTGGCGATGAAGCTGGATTTGGATACTAGGAATAGCCAAGTAAAGTGCAGTAGTGGGTAAATCAAAGCTGTCCAATCTATAGGGAACGAACAAGAGTGCTCGTTACAAGATTGGATGATAGTGAGCAGCAAGCATATAGTATTCCTTGTGCAATTGTTAGCTGACCATGGATTGTGAATCTTGCTCCCTTGGTGATTCCTTTTCTTGATTAATCAATTTTAGGATTGCAACAATGCTGATTACAAACTTATATAAGTTCTTTGGATATTTATGGCCTATGTTTTCAGTTGTGACTGCAATTTTGTGACATAGGATGTGCCTTTGTGGCATAGATAAATTATTTGGGCTTTACCCTTTTACTGCTTGTACGGTTTTACATTTGAGTTTAAGTTACCTCAAGCCATTGTCGTATCTCATACTACAACAAAAATGCCAAGATTTTCCTGACACCCGTTGCTGTTCTTTTTGACAGGGTGTCTGTTAAATGTAATATGACAATAATCTTCTGACTCCCTAGACTCATATTCTTAAATCATTTTGTTAACCATTCCATAGTATTCTTATACTTTGTTCCTTTTAAAATACTGCAGGCAAATTGCTAGAAGCAGCATGCCAAATGGTTGGCATCCTTGGCCAGCGATCGCAATTCACACGCTGCCAGTAGACAGGAAAGATTGATCTCATGATACTGAAACACGGTCTAGAGGTGATAGACTCTGCTGGGGCCATCCACATATGGTTGTTTTATTTTGTTTAAAAATGAGTAGTAAATCAGGTGGGCAATATAAGCAGGTGTGTATAGGTGTGTCTTACGGCAGGAAAAAAAATCATACTTGAACACCAAAATCTTCTGTGTATAGGAGGGTTTGTTTTGTTCGTTGTTCTTGCTACTGTTTCTGACAGAATCTTAATCTTGAGTAAAGATCGCAGCATCCCATGGGTTAAAAGCTTCATCATTTGTGTGTGCATCTTTTATGGATTTAATAATTTTGCAAATCCTTGTAAGTTTTTCTCTGAAGATTCTGGTAAATGCTTGCCTTTTCTTATCTAAAGACTAGTGATTGTCTTTGCCTGCATTACTTGGTAGAGACACCGGATGAATCGGTGTGAGAACATGAATACATGATGTACCTTTTCTGCATCTCCTTAGTGAGCTGATGTACCTTTTGGCAATGTTTGGCTAATTGGAAATGGAAATGATTTCCCGCTCACCAAAAGACATCTTTAAATCCTAACCATTCATTCTTCCTCTTTCATTTAATCCTAACCCTTCATTCATTTCCCAATCTCAATCTCACACTCCATTTCCCATTATCCAAACACACCCTTTAGGTGGTTCTCGTTTTGTTTTGTTTTTTTTTAATGTATGCAGCCAAGAACTACTGAGACTGAACAAGAGAGAGGAATATGCAAGCTAACCGCTTCAAACCTCCTGATAATTTTTCATCATCCAGCAGTTGGTGATTTGGCGATTATATTGCTACCATTTGATATTTTCATAATCTTTGCGACTTTGTGCAGTGGCCTGTTTGCACCCTGGAGGTAGCCCTTGTACCATGCAGTTCTATTGACGCATTCCCTTCTGATTTCAGGTACCTGTAGGAGCTGATGATGCTGAACTTGGCGAGCGCATTATACAGCAGTTGGCCGCTTGCGCATTATCTCTTCTACCATGCTGAACTTCGCACCCTCAATTTCCCATCATGGTAGAAGAGATGGCCATTGTAGGCTCACAGCTACCGATCCATCTCTACGTGGTGAATTGGTGATAGAGCAATGAACATGAACAGGTACTATTTCCTACTACCTATGGTACTATGTTTACATGATTTTCCTTTCAAGAGATTTACTGTCGTTGTATGTCGATTTTAATCAGGACCTCTGAAAACCAATCTACACCTGTAATAAAGATACAGTAGGACCATCTGATTTGTAGCTTTTCTCTGACGTGTTGAGATCTTGTTAGCTATCAGCTTCAACGAAGTAATCTCCAACTCCTGAAAGCACCTTCACATTGAATATATGCATTTTATGGGCATTCATTAGAATGCCAGGTCTAAAACAACGAGTACGCACAAGATGGAATGAAAGGTATTTTCCCACAGTAGTTCTTAGCTTTGAAGTAAGGAGGGGAGGTCCGGGATTGTTGCGTTATCCTACAGTAGTTCTTGGCCGTGAAGACTGAAGACAGGAATTGGGGCAAAATGCTACACGGGTAGATGATGTATGTAATGGCGTCCAGTCAATTCTTTTTAGAGGAGTGTTCGATCCTGTAGAGGATGAAACAAACATTTTTCCTTTGGGTGTGTTTAGTTCACGCTAAAATTGGAAGTTTGGTTGAAATTGAAATGATGTGACGGAAAAGTTAGAAGTTTGTGTGTAGGAAAGTTTTGATGTGATGGAAAAGTTGAAAGTTTGAAAAAAAAAGTTTGGAACTAAACTCAGCCTTCATAAGTTTCTCTAACCGCCGCCAATTTCACTTTCGTCAGGTCCAGAGAGAAAAGCCGCTTGTTCGGAGCACCTGAGATATCCAGCGATGCTTCATGCCTTCATCATCTTTGTGTGCTTCAAAAGTCGTTGGAAGCTCTTGCGTTCAGATCACGGGACGTTACGAATTGTAATCGTTATCATTCACAACAGAACGAATGTCGATTGTGAAATTCTTGTTGGTATCCCTATAAATCAAGGGTACGGTCATTCATCAGTTCGTCACTTATCACCCCTGTTGTGCTTTGCCTATGCTTGTGAGTAATCAAGCTTATATGCAAATTTGGCCTATGAGGAAATTTGCCATGTACACAGGAGTTCGCAGTAATCACAAGCATAGAAGTGATACGTTTCTGTATGAGACACATAAATTTTCACGGAAGTTCGCAGTGATCACACATAAGTTTGTGAGTAATCACACAGAAGTGCATCCCTTGTACTGCATCTACCTACCTTTTCCCTGCGCTGGACATGCTTGTTTCATTTTCTTCCCCTCTCCTTTTTTTACTGTTGAACACCCTGGAAATATTTAAGGTCTCTACAAGCTGGGGTAGTCCACAATACAAAAAACAGTACTAGCACGTGAACATTCTGAAAAGAAAAATCTGCCATCCAAATGCCCTCGCTTTCATGATGATCAGAGTTCCTCAGAATTGTCCCATGCGTGATTCGTGATTCTTTAACTTTGGCATCAAGCATTTCGCGGAGATTAGCCCCTCACATGACAATGATCTCCCCAGATCAAAACCTCAACCCAGTGAACTCCACTCCATGTGCGTCCGCAGCGCAGCGCAGGTGGTGGTCTCGCTAGCAAAAACCAACAAAACCAAGAATGCGTCATGTGTGCGCTGCCCGTAGGCCGTAGCCAGCTTATTGCTCACGAGAACCAGGTGCGCACGCACGCACGCACGGTGTTCGCTCGCTCCCGTCTCGGCAACCGCAGCGGACGAAACCACCGACCGACACCGAGTCACCGACGAATCCACCCTCTCTCGTCTCTCGCTCGCGCGCGCGCGCGAGGACGACGCGACCCCGCACCACACGCGGACGCCCCCCGCGAAATCAACGCGGCAGCTGGCGCATCCGCGCAACGAAACGACTCGGCGCCTTTCTTTCTTCCGTTATTCCGAATTCCTTCCCGTGCCGTGCTCGTGGCGGGGTCAGTACTTTGGACCGGCTGGTTTATCATGTATAGTAATTTTTTTTAAGTTTTTAAAATCACAGTATATCAATCTTACTATAACCACCAAACTATAAAGTGATAGTAACACACTTAAAACGGTTTGGTGAACCCTACGACTGGATCTCCGGTGGTGCAGCGACCGGCCGGGGGAGACGAGATGTCACAGAAAACTTGGCTTCAAAGGTGATTGACACCACGGCATTCGTATGTGTATACGTGTATGGCTCACGAGCTACCGTTGTAGACGAAAGGGGTAAAAAGGGTTACAGGCTACCGGTGAAAGTGCCAGGTAGAGGGAACATGCACGTCAATCTGGCGCGTACATCCGGTGCTGTGCTTCCGGATGCAGCTTAATTAACGACGGGAAGGAGAATAGCCGCCCAAGTGATAAACGAGCCCACCAGCGTCGAACTATTGGAGGAATCAGAAATCGGAAAAAACATTGTCATAAATCTGGAGGGTTTATTCCATTATCTTAAAAAAAAAAACTGCAGGGTTGAACTGTAGATCGTCCGGTAGCTTAGCGTGGAGACTAACCCACGTCATACAAAAAAAGGCGACGCGTCAGGCCAAATCCACCAGAAGTTGGACGGCTCACTTTACGTGTTATTGCCCGGACATTAACACAATAAAATCCGACGATTGAAACGACCAAAAGTGAGTGACTACCGATAATCGATTGCTGGATGTACTCCTAATACCTTGTGATACAAAGTGACACTACCACATGAGAAAAATGGAGGCTGATCGTATTAATTAAACGATGATTTCAAGAAGTGGATTAAAGCAACAATGATATCTGATTGTGTGAAAGCTAATGAAGCGGCCGTACGGTGATATCTGTACGTCTTACTTTTTTCAGGGCGTTGGCTCATTGACGAATTGAAGCACGATTTGGCGACGGTGACCATCCAACGATCTATCATTAAATCACGATCAATGCTGCGAAGCTACATGTTAGCATAACACCGAAAGTCATGGTCATACCACCGTGGGACAATACACCATCCAACTCACCATGATAGTGTTCTTTTTCATGAATTGGGTTGTACGATAAAAATGCCAAGAAGAAGATATGTTTGGAAAGGAGAAAAGAAAAAGGAAGATCGATACTGTATATCATTAGTCCTTTGTAAACACAATGCAAGATCACGAGATGCTAGTATAGCTGTCTCCGAATGGATTTTCCGGGGGAGGCCATTTGATTATGCATAACCTAACCTGTTGATACACCTGACAGGATAAATAATCCCTATGGTTCTATATTAATTGACGTTTGGATAAGGTTGATGTTAAACTTTTATAATTTTGACCATCAATAACTTTAAAAATATATAGTTTAAAGAAACTAGAAAAACATATATAGATTTGTCTTTCAAAACACTATAATAAAAGTAAACATGCATTTATTTATTATATATATTATAATAAAAAATAAGGTCAAAGGTATATCTTGTAGAGCGTGTTATTGTCACAGCGTTAATTAAAATGAAAGGGGAGGGAGTATAACATTTGGATCTGTGAACGCACTATGCTCTGCATTGACTGGCAGCATGCAAGCCTGCAAGTATTAAGCACGAGTGCACTCGAGGGAGCTGTTAGTGCGTCTTAATTACATCGCGAACGCACATGGCGGCTCCTGTTTGACCTCAGAAATAAAAGATTAACTCCGTTCTCCAAGTTCTTAAAAAAAAAAAAACTCCATTCTCCAACACGATAACACCCCGTTTAGAGTTAGGTGCATCCGTATACGATCCGGTTCCGGTGGCATATGGACCTAACCGACGCACTTGGCCACTTTCATTAGTGAGCTCCTTAACCTCTCCTTTCGGACTCACCCTGTAGGCCTGTACCCTGTACTCAACTCCTGTATCCACCACAGGATTTACTCCATTTCACCCGAGTACGATTGTACGAATCCATCACGCGGATCTCACCGGCTTTAACTCATCACTGTCCGGTCCCCAGACCGGCACGCCGGCCTGGATTTTTCACATTTAAGTCCTTTTAAAAAAATTATTTCGCAAAATAGACCTCTAAAAAAATTTATCCTACAAATGGTTTCTTTTAGGGCACCAGAGTGGCTGGCACCGTCCTCTAACTGAACGGCGCCAGGCACTCTGGCACCGTCCTCCTGCCAACGTGGCGGGGTGGTGCTGAGGTGGCAGGGGGAGGCGCCACCATGGCTCCCCCCCAACACCTCGTTTCCAATCTTGACCCTTTTTATTTATTTATTTTTTTGATATTTTTTTACACTTAGAATCACGATACATACATGCAAACCACAAAAAAAAATTAAACTCGAATGGAATATGTAATAAATCCTTCAACTTAGCTAAAAGTCTGGAAACAACATACCAAATTTTGGACCTTCACCAAATTATACCATAACTCTTTTAGCAAAACCCTTCGGTCAGCATGTTAAACATAATGCACTCTACCACTAGATGAAATTGCTTAATCTAACTCAAAATATAACCACATGAAAATGATAGCCATAAGTTACTTAAACAGTCTAGAGATGCAACTTTTTTTATTTTTCTTTTATTTTTTGATTTTTTTTCCACGATTAGGAGCATACAAGAACCAACGATATACAAACCAAACTCAAATAGATAAAATATGTGACCTGCAGAATTTTTCTCTTCTATCCTCTCTAGTGTAGAGGAGAGAGATGTGCAACTTTTTTTTTATTTTTCTTTTATTTTTTTGATATTTTTTTCACAGTTAGGAACCCACAAGAACGAACCCTAAAAAAATAAACTCAAACGGACGAAATATGTGGCATGTAGAATTTTCCAAAGCTCCGTCGAAAAGCTTATCGCCTCGAAAACACAATCTTGCAAGAAAAATTTGGATATTTTAATTTCGCCGAACCCAGCAAAACGGGGGAGAATCGGATGTAACTTTTTCTGTAGATTTTTGTGGTTATATTATTTGCCTGATTCCGAGTTCGTATGAGAAAGTTACGTCTATTTTAAGAAATGACACACAAATGACACCTATTTTCGGTAGAGATTTAGAAAATTCTACAAATCACATTGTCGGTGACATGGGACCGGGAGTATCATGACTTAGAGACTTGAGGCAGACACGATCACCCACGTGGCCTAACCCCCTCGGGGGGGGGGGGGTCGGGCTCGAGGGTGATACGGCCGCCCTTCTCTTTGTCTCCCCGAGGGGTCGGACCGCTCCCGTCTCGGCCCCGAGGGCCGAGGCGCCCCGACCCCTTGTGGGTTTTGCGCCGCGTATATGGGGTAGGTGAGCATAGCGGGGCTCACCTAACCGCATTTATTGCGGTTTGGACGAGCGCGTCACGCCACATGTAGCGCAGTATGGCACGCTCATTTATCCGGTCTGTGACCGGTCACAGATCGGTCAGATTGCGGGTTAGGAGGCAACAGGCGATCTGACACACGCCTCGCCCCGTCCCATCAGGATGAGAGTCTCTAGGCACTCGTCCCTAGCCGGAGCCAGCGTGCTAGCTCCTGGAGATGGCACGTTGGTCCTGGTCAGATGTATGCCAGGCTTTATCCCAACCATTATAAGCAAGACGTTGTATGAAGAAGGGCGAACATGCAGATTGCTAAACTGACACGTGGTGGACAAAGGTGACCGGTCTGACACTGGTTATGTCGCCGGAAGACAACCGTGTTCCCACGTTGCACCTGCTTCCGGCGGAGTGGACGTAGGTATGGGCCGTCCCATCAGAAGGGTCACTCGGGCAGCAGCCGTTGCAAATCTCCGCCCATTTATGAAGGGATGACAGGGTGATCCCCGAGGTCAGACGAACGAGGACGCGTGGCCACACTCAAAAACAGGCAGTGTTTCAGCTTCCAAGAGAAGGCAAGCCAAGTTTTACTATAGATAGGATGGGCCCCCACCCAAAAAGAGAGAGAGGGAGAAGTGGTGCATGTGGTATCCCCTTGAGATATAAAAGGAGGACCTTGCCCACTTAAGAGGAGAGGCTGGAAGGGGGGATGATCTGGAGAGGAGATCCCACGAGAAAAAAAAAAGAAAAGGAGAAGAGGGTTTTTAGAAT